ATTTCATGAAATCTGAAGGATTAGAATGTCTATTTTTGGCCTGATCAGTGGAACAACCAGGTCAGCAATCACTTCCACAAAGTTAAGTGTTCTTTTACCAGTTCTTCAATGACTATAACATTAGGCAGTGCTACCTCTCCTCTGTCAGCTGCTAGTCCACCTAGCTAAGAAAACACCCTCTGTGCATTTGGATATAGTTTTCTCAGCTGCACTATTCTGACACTGTGCATTTTTGGGAGTTAATCTTATTGAGATCAGCCTCTGAATTCATTTGCAGTCACATGGTATCAATGGGGTGAAACCAAGCATAGATGGAATAAACACTACTGAGCTCAATGGCGCTTAATTCTTGATAGACATCTGGCCAGGGTGACTTATTTTATATTATTTTTTGCATTTCAACTTAATGTTTGTATTTTACAAACATTTTAACTTAATGTTATGTTAAGTTAATGTTTTAACTTAATGTTTTTATTTTAACTTAATGTTGTGAGCCACCCTGAGGCTTCGGTGAATGGGGCGGCATAGAAATGTTTTAATAAATCAATAAGATAAAATAAATAGACATGTAGAGGATTGCAATTCCCAGTTATGACATACAAAGTAGACCTTGTATCCATGAATCCAATGTTCCCTTTACTCTCCAAAATGAATTGTAGGCCCTTTTTCTTCTTTCCCAGCACAGTTTTTCAGTGAATGTCAGCTTAAATAGGAGTTGCATAAGAAACACCATTGTGGGGCACGACGTCTGGTATGGTGATGATCGGCGTTTAAAAAAACAATACACTAAGAACACAAAGAGTTTTGTACTGAGAAGAGTCTGGAGACTGAGGGGAAGCAGAAGGTGGTGATTTCATGTATTTAGGCAGACGGTAGAGGGAAACAAGGCTGATAGGAAAAAATATGCATGTGTTGGTATTATGGGTTGAAAAAGAAGAAATAAGTTTCAAACATGATAGTTGGAAAGCATGAACATTTCTCAAGGAAATGAATAAATGCAGAGATCTGGGCTTGGGAAGAGATGGGCATTCACATACAGTAGAAGTTGAACCCCTTTGACTTACTGGGAAACATAGATCACAACCTTACATGTGATCCATGATGGTAAGTAGAGGCTTTGAAGGTTATCTGCCAGGGTTGCAGAGTCAGAGTTGCCAGCCTGCTCCTGCACCCTCTTGCTCTGTGTGAGGACATGACCGTGAGAGCAGTGTGCAAGGCATGGGCCAGAGCATAGACAGAATTGTAGATATTGTAACAGTGGCCAGACATGCTCATTTCAAAGAAGGTTGAAGGTAGGTTTTCTAGCTCCTCCACACCGGTGCATGTTTCACTCGTATCTCCTGGTGTTTCAGAATTTGAGTAAATGCACTCAAAAGCTTGTTCCCTGAAAAGTGTGATAAATCTATCTGCTTTTGCTGCAGAAGGACTGATTCTCTGGAGAAAGCTATGGAAGCCTGGAGGCTCTCTTGAATGAATTGTGAAGGATAGAGCACCATGGAACATTTGCATGCCAACAGCCTTTTGAAGGACATGCAAGGTGAAATCGATTTGTGCTGTAGTAATCCAAACTTTCCTTACAGGGAGAATCTCTCTGTAGTCCTGACCTGATAAAGGAGAGTGGCTATCAGTATAATACTAGCCAGCCAGAGAATGTTTGTACTTTCTCCATGTATAACAACTGCAGTGCCTTTTTTCTTCATGAAAATGGGAACATGGCTCAATGTTTCATTGAGAACGCTCTCCATCCCAGAGAACTGCCAATTGGCCTGGAGTCTTTCTGTGGATTCTGAACAGATTCCTTTCTGGGAAAGCAGTGGCTCCATGGTGTGCAAGAAACGCTCTCCACGTTCGTCATCCATTGTGATGAGGCCAACCCATTTCCAGTGGAAATGTTGAAGTAGCCGGACAATTCCCTGGTATTGAAGAGCTTCATTGGGGGCCATGAAGTAAAAGGAGGGCAAATCAGATTCATCACTTTCTTCTGCTTCAAATGATCCATATGAAAACTGAAGGAAGGAAAAATGGATCAACAAGTGAACAAAAGAAAGAAGTTAGCCTGAATGATGCAATGGAAACCATCATTTCTTGTATTGAAATCCATCCAGAATAATCTCCTCAAAAAGTGAAGCAGAACCATATCACCAACATTACTTGTTGAATATTTTTTTCTGATAGGCAGGTACTTTGAAAGTTCTGACTACAAGACACCATTCCACGTACTTGTGTCAGAAAAAGATCTGAGGGAGGCAGGATTGTTGTCAGAAAATCAGAATACACCAAATTAGAGATATCTATTCACTGTTCTCTCCACTTTGCCCTCTACAGCTGTAGAGTAGCTGGAGGTTATTCCACTCAGCCTTCCTGTATTGCAGTGCTGCTATTTAATGCTCAGTTGGTCTGTAATGTTTTGAACCCTTTCATCATTTCATTATGGAAGGGAAGCCAGATGTGAAATGTATGCTAGGGGGATGGTGCAAGGGAGTCACTCTGGTGCATAGAACTGCCATCCCCCTCACCAGGATGTAATTTCATCTTAGAGTGGTCCTTGTGGTGTTGTGCCATAGTGATATTGGGGGAGAAATTCTCTTCAGAGTTAACTCCAGTCTGTAGGATCTCCTCCTGTGCTTGGAGAGTATAATCAGGTTGCTGTGGGAAGGAGACAGTGAGGAGCACCAATTCTGCTAGCATAGTGGATCCCCTCTCAACTCGATCAAACAACGTACCTGCGGGATCTTATAAAGGTGAAAGAGATCTGCCATGCGATCAGAGATATCAGCACTCAGTCCCCCAATGACTCCTATAATATTTCCTTGAGTACCACATCTGTAGTTGGGAATCATCTGATGCGATTTGAAGAGAAGGTCCATACTGGCCCAGTAGGTCATCCTCGCATCAGAGTAGCTGTCATAGATCTGGAAGCCAAGAGTGATATTGGGCAGGATCTTGGGATTTTCATTAATCTGAAGGATGGCAAACACCAAGGCCAGGATGTGCTGGTAGAACTTGGTCACCACCTACAAAGAAAGCAATGTCTTGTAGTTTGAGAAGAGAAGTCTGAAGTGAATGAAATCAAATAATTGGGTGTAACCAGAGTGCACAATCTTGGGAAGAATGCCCAGATGAAGCTCAAATGGGAACAGGGAAAATCTGATGATGCATGACACGCATTCCCTGTTTCACATTGAGATTTGCAGATTTGCTCAAAAGCTCTCACTGTTATTCCACTGTGGTTTTCATTCTACTCTGAGTATATGATGCTATCACAAATCTTCCAGAAAGTGTCACCAGTGTGATAGAACGTAATGTAATTTTATTGGAATGTATAATGCCCCTAGAAATCTTTCAGATCTTACTGAGTCATTGAAGTTAGTAGAAGAGGGAAGGTGATAGTGGGATAACAGAAGAACCAAACACATAGAAAAAAGTAAGGATGACGCCCCACGAAAACTAAAGAAGGGCGACTGAGTGAATGGCTCAGTCACACATGAGCTCCTTGGCTGAGAGGGAACTAGAGCATGGGTGTCCAGAGTTCCCATCCAGTATTAAAAACATTGTCTGCATACAAAGCATTTCTTATAAAGAAATTACATTGAGGCTCACTTCACAAGATTCCTTACAATGGGATGTCAATGGAGTCCCGAGAAGGGTGCTCGTTGAACACAATGTTGGGGAAGATGTAATGAAAGTGTGATGCCATCCCCCCAATGAGGAGCTCGCCCGCCTGGTGCCACTCTTGTGGGATGGGAAGGGGAACGTTTCCGGTGCACTTCATCTTCTGAGTCTTAATTGCTGTGTGTGGGATGAGTAACCCCACCAGGGCCACAGTCACCATGTTCCCCCTGGCAAACGTCCTTCTTGCCTTCCTTTCTTCCATATCACTCTCCACAGAGTCATTGCTATGCTCATTTGTCTACATCCACGCTGAGTTCAGGGGGCTGCTGACTCTGCAATGCACTGCTGAAGGTGCAAAAGTCTTCTCTCCAGTGCTGCTAGGTGGCTTCTTTCATGCCAAGAGATACGCAGTGATTTGAAGCCAAGATATACCTGGCAGGGGGAACGTGTGCAACATTTCAGAAGTCTATGGATTTCTAGCCTGCAATGTGATGTGTGAACAGCATGCTATGTGTGTGTGCTTTCAATATCCATCTACACCTTCGGAGTTGTATCTTTCTCCCTATTGTTTTGCCTGAAGGCACTGGAGATTTGGCTTCCTGCCTTAATGACAATGCTTCTGATTGGAGTTGATGAAGATAATAACACTGGATACCATGTGTAATCCCAGCTCCCAGACAACCAGTGAAGCAACAGACATGTTTGTCAAATGCCAGCTTTTCCTGGTTCTCAATAGTGGGACAGCAATTTTGTGGAAAGTGTGAATGATATCAGGGTGGAATCCAAATTACACAGTGGCCCTTGAGCCCAGAAAAGCTCCATGTTTTAAGCTAATCATGCCTGCAAAATTGAGGACAAGCATGGTAGCAGTGCTCACCGTGCTGACCATGCACTCTTGCTGAATTCATGACAACCTCATCCATGGTGTATTTTCAGCCCCACGCTTCAAACAAGAGCCTTGGATCAAAGCCTGACTGAGCGTTTATTCTTCCCAACAAGAGTTTTCTTTTAACACTTGACAATTTTAGAACCATTGTGGGATCAGCCCCTCTGGTTGGCCGACCATCTCTAGTCCTGGTTGGGTGCTAGCCCTTGTAGGATTGGCTGTACTCCATGGTCCCTGTGATTCCAGTCAGGAAATAGTTTTCCCTTCCCTTCCCTTCCCTGCCCTGCCCTGCCCTGCCATGCCCTGCCCTGCCCTTCCTGCCCGACCCACGGAATGTTGTTTTCAGCACCCAAAAGTTATTGACTATATGCAATGGTTAAATTCTGTCCCTTTATGTCCCTATTGAGGGGAACAAGCAGAATGGCAGACATCACAAAGCTAAAGCTGTTCGTGGGCAGCTCATGCCCATGACCTTTTTTTCCTGTATGATCTCCAAAACTGATTATATCTTTCTCTGCATGAGCTGCTCCTTGTTGTTGAGCTCAGGTCTCAGGACAATGATGTAGCATTTGGGGAAGAATATGCAGCCCAGTAAGCCAGCACTGGAGGCCAAGATCGAGAAGATCTCCACAGCCACCATGGCCTTTCCTTTTGTGCTGAGGTAGGTGGGAACAAAGGAGGCCCAGACGCTGCAGAAGACCAGCATGCTGAAGGTGATGAACTTGGCTTCATGAAAGCTGTCAGGCAACTTCCTGGCCAGGAAGGCCACTGCAAAGCTGACTCCAGCCAGCAGCCCCATGTACCCTAAGACGCAATAGAACATGAGGACAGAGCCCTCATTGCAGAGCAGGATAATTTCTGTAGGCATGGAGTGCATGTCCAGATCTGGGAATGGGGGAGAAGTGGCCAGCCATAGAGCAGAGAGTCCTACTTGCACACTGGAGCAGGAGAGCACAGTGGCATAGGCCTGTTTTTTCCCCACCCACTTCCTCATCTGGGATCCTGGTTTGGTAGCCATGAATGCCAGCACCACAGATACAGTTTTTGCCAAAATGGTGGAGAGGCACACAGAGAAGACTACGCCAAAAGTAGCTTGTCGAAGAAGACAGGACAAAGTTTTAGGCTTTCCAATGAAGAGCAAGGAGCAGAGGAAACAGAGGAGGAGTGAGATGAGGAGAATGTAGGTGAGGCTCTGGTTGTTTGCTTTGACGATGGCAGTGTCTTGATGCTTAATGAAGATACCAAGCACCAGGACCGTCATCAGAGACAACAGAAGTGCAGAGGAAACTGAGATGATGGCCAAGGTTTCCTGAAAGGCTAGGAAGTTTGGCTTTTTAGGAGTGCATTGATTCTGGACTTCGTTTGGATGGTGACCTTCTGGGCAATTCATGCAGCTTTCCATGTCTGAAAATGAGTAATCATGTGGAAATATATGAAGATCCAAAAGAGTTATCTCTCCCGTTAGCAGTGCTACCCTTCATGCTTCTTAATTTCCCCCATGCTCACTGTTTTGCGCTTTCCACCCTTTTAGTGCATAGTTGGTACACCGAAAGGACTCTTATCATTTCCTTCTTATCATTCTCTTAATGTGATCTAAAACTTTCTGGAATATTTGCTAAGTACTCAATACAGCTGCTTGCTGCTCAGAATTGAGGGTTTGGGGGTAGTAGTGTTATTCTTGCTGTTCCCAGTGAGGTGAAGAATGGCCAGTAAAAACCCAAATTGGGGCAGGAGAAGAACTTAAAATCATAAGCTGAGTTCAGTACTTGCCACACATGTTGAGTTTACTACATGTTGCTGGGTGTCCCGCAGGCTTTTCAGAGTAACCAAGTGTCCTGAATTTGCATCCAATGTGGAACAACATGCTCTTTCAGAAGTGTTTTTTCTAATCATAATTGCTAGGTGAGGCTGGGGTGTTGCAGTGAGTGAAGCAGCATTTTCTACAACCTTCCCTCCTCCTTGCACTTTGCTGCCTGCATTTCAATTCAGTGGAGAATTTCCTTCTAGCACCACCAGATGGTCTTTTGGGCTTAGGAAGGAGTCACTGGATCCCAGGCAAAGCAGAGCCACTGCTGACTGGGCTCCTGCAGAGGAGGCAAAATTGGATGGACAAATCTCCACGTCTTTAGCCTGAAAGAGACTTACTCTGTGGGAGTGAGGATTATTTTATATTTCCGGTGCCAGTTTTGTTTTGTTTCGTTCAAGTTTAATGGTTGGTGATCTCCACAAAAGGTCCTCAAGTCATTGCCCAGTTGAGAAGCTGAGTCAATGCAGTTCATTTGTGGTGCAGCTTTTATGATCTTTAACTCCTTCTTGGATGCCAGACATTGCCAAATACCATTAAGGGAAGGCCATTCTACCTCTGCATGACCTGAGTTCATGTTATTCTTGCAGCCATACTAAAAGATACAGCCCATTCTTTCTAAACAAATATCAAGAAAAGTATATCTATAAATTGCATAAGTAATGCCATGGTTAAAGCCATCGCCAGCAAATCTTTCAAGAGAAACTCAAGAAAGGATTCATTGCATAAAAATAAAATGAAGTCTTATTGTATTTTTTTAACCTTTTAACCATACAAGCTGTCTTTCATACCCTCCTGGTTTGAGAACATCCCATCAGGACATGGGGCACAGTCATAGCAACAAAATTTGTTCCCTTCAATCTTCTTCTTGCTGTACCCAGGATGGCAGAAGTCATTACACAGAGAAAGAGGTGGCACCTGTCCAATGATATAAAATTGACTTAGCATTGCAGAAAGATTTGTGCACCATATCTCACTTCAAACCATTTACGAGTAATGCAACACCGAAAGGTAAGGCGTCTTGAATTGCTAAAGGTGCAAAAGGCACATTCTGTGGGAGGAATATTTGTACTAAGCAACACAGTGTATGGCCAATGGCCATTTGGTGATGAAAGTTCCCCCATCTTTCTGGGCCAGCCTGAAAAGCCTGGCTTAATGGAGAAGATACCATACTGTCAAGACCAAGTATTGAGCAGCTCTTTGTTGTCAGAGAGCACTACAAACCATCAGTGGTGGACCTAACTAGCTTATGTGCCTGTAAGAATTGCCATTGCATAGCCCAACCCTCCTTGTTTGAATACTGATCCCTTGGGGGGCTTTGCTCACCATCAGTTCCATCCATAAGAAAGCAGCCTTGCTCTCCAAGTTCATGCTGTGTGTTTAGGTAACTTGCTGGGAAACATTTGAAAGGGTATATAATGTGTACTTTCTGCACAAGAAAGAGCTTTCCTCCTTGTAATTAAACCTGGATCTTGCCTGTCATTTCCTTGGAATTTTGAAGAACTCTCCCAGCTCACAGCAGGGGTCTTATGAAGGGCAACACTCATGCACTGGAAGATTGGCGTTTATTTAATTATCCTGATAAATTGTGCAATGGGCTTGGCATTCAAGTAAAGGGAAACTAATTAGAAGCATATTTTGGAGCTGTCACAAGAAAGTATTCCTGGACAATATTTTTCCTGTGAAAAGACAACAGTGAATGGAAGTCAGACACAGTGCATGGGGAATTCCCTAGTACTGAAGAGCTTCCTTTGGGACCGATTGGAAAAAGGGCATGCTCAGGGCCCCTTGTTCAATCCTTGAATATGCAGGGACAGTTCGATCTAATGCTAGCTAAAGTGCTGTTGAGTCACCACCAGCTAGTCTTGAAAAAACTGGGTTCGAAGGACGACTTAGCTGACCGAGTATAAGTCAGCATCCTATGCTGTGATGTTAGTTTCTTCACAGGCTGTTGCATTTTCAACATCATGTCCTTTTGCCTCTGAACTATCCACATCACAATTCTTTTGATTATTGCATTACACATGTGTCATCCCCTCCCTTTAAGAAGCCATTTGTGACATATGCATAATTCCGGTTAGGTTAGAATGAGTCTCCATGACTGGCCCAATATCATCCAATGACCTTCAATACCAAAAGCAGAGTTGAACCCACATCTCCTGATTCCCAGGCCCACACTAACCACTAGCCTAAACCTAATCTCCCCCATCAGCATTTCAGTTTTTACTCCTTATTTATCTAACCCAAATAGGTATTCTTGTAAACTTCTAGGTGCATGAAATATTCTCAGAAAAAGTTGAACATGAATTACTGAGAGTCAGTGCAGTTAGATTCCAACCTGAGCCATGTGCCTTGGCCAATGGATTCTTGTCTCATTAATGGTGAGTTGTTCTTCTGGAGGAGCATGAGGATCCAGCCTTCCCACTATGACTCTGATGTAGGAGTCATTTGGGAATACAACCAGGTTTGTGACTTCAAATGCACCCACCACCTCTCCATGCTCATTCAGCCTAATTTCCTCTCCAGCATTGTTGTTGAATGGGAATCTCTGAATCCACATACTGAGCTAAGTAGAGAAAGAAAGCAACTCATGGAGATGATATGAAGAATCAGAATAAATTTTATGGACAAAGCCTTGGAAATTCTAGGAAATAAATTTGGATTTACATGCCTTCTAGGGCTGAAATTTTATGGTCACATTGGTAAGAGGTAACACATAAAAGATAGAGGGAAACCAAGGGATATAGAATTATAGAAAGAGAGAAAGAGAGCAGGTCCAAAGGGATTTCCTGGGCTATCTAGTTGGACCCCTGGTGCCAGCCAGCTCCACTCATGACATGCTGCAACGGTTGGTATTATGGGTTGAAAAAGAATAAATAAGTTTCAAACATGACTGTTGGAAAGCATGAGCATTTCTCAGGAAAATGAAGGAATGCAAAATTCTGGGCTTGGAAAGACATGGGTATTTGCATACATTAGAAATAGGAACCTATCCACCAGCTGAGCAACATGGATCACAACCTTCCATGCTCTCAATGTTGGTAAATAGAGACTTGGTAGGTTACCTGCCAGTGTTGCAAACTTGGAGTTGCCAGCCTGCTCCTACCCCCTCTTGCTCTGTGGGAGGACATGGCCATGAGAGAGGTGTGCAAGGCATGGGCTATAGCATAGACGGCGTTGTAGATATTGTAACTGTGTCCAGTCATGCTCATTTCAAAGAGAGGTGAAGGTAGGCTATCTAACATCTCTACTCCAGTGCATATTTCATTCATATCTCCTAGTGTTTTGGAATTTGGCATAAAGCACCCAAAAGCTTGTTCCCAGAAAAGTGTGATGAATCCATCTTTTTTTGTTGCAGAAGGGCTGATTCTCTGAAGAAAACTATGAAAGCCTGGAGGCTGTTTTGCATGGATTGTGAAGGAAAGTGCACCATGGAACATCTGCATACCAACAGCCCTTTGAAGGATATGTAAGGTGAAATCTATTTGTGCTGTTGTAATCCAAACTTTCCTTACAGGTAGAATCTCTCTGTAGTCCTGACCTGATAAAGGAAAGAGAGTGGCTATCAGTATAATACTAGCCAGCCAGAGAATGTTTGTACTTTCTCCATGTAGAACAACTGCAGTGCCTTTTTCCTTCATGAAAATGGGAACATGGCTCAATGTTTCATTGAGAACGCTCTCCATCCCAGAGAACTGCCAATTGGCTTGGAGTCTTTCTGTGAATTCTGAACAGATTCCATTCTGGGAAAGTATTGGCTCAATAGTGCGCAAGAAATACTCTCCATGTTCATCATTCATCGTGATGAGGCCGACCCATTTCCAGTGAAAATGCTGAAGTAGCCGGACAATTCCCTGGTATTGAAGAGCTTCATTGGGGGCCATTCGGTAAAAGGAGGTTAAGTGAGATGCATCACCTGCTGCTACTTCAAATGATCCATATGCAAACTGAAGGAAGGAAGAATAATGAGGAAAGGGAGAGAGGAAAGAAAGAAGTCAGGACTTCTTCAGCCTGAACACTCCATTGAATGCCTTTGTTTTGTATCAAAATTCATCCAGAAGAATCCCACAAATAAGTTAAAAAGAACCCTATCATGTAATTTCTTGTTAAATATTTGGTGTGATAAGCAGGTGCTTAGGAAATTTTGACTCCAGGACACCTGAGGATAGCACCTTCTTTCCAAGTACTTGGGGCAAAGAAAGTTCTGGATAGAGGGGGCAGTCAGAAAACCAGTTTATCCTGGAGTACTTATCTGTATTCTTTGTTCCCATTTCCTCCCTTTCCAAGGTGTAATGTAGCTGGTGACTCTTGCACTGAGTCTTCCTGTTTTGTCATGCTATTTAATGCTCAATTGGTCTGTAATGCTTTGAACCCTTTCATCATTTCATGATGGAAGGGATGCCCGATTTGAAATGTATGCTAGAGGAATGGTGGAAGAAAGTCATTCTGGTGCATAGAACTGCCATTCTCCTCACCAAGATGTAATTTATCTTGGAGTGGTCCTTGAGGGGTGGCACCTGGTGTTGGGCCAGAGAGAGATTGGGTAGAGATTCTCTTCAGAGTTAACTCCATCCTGTAGTTTCTCCTTCTGTTCTTGGAAAGTATAATGAAGTTCCTGTGGGAAGAATGCACTGTAAAACACCACTTCCCATTATCACATTGGAGCCCCTCTCAATTGTATCAAATAATCTACCTGTGGAATCTTGTAAAGGCGAAAAAGATCTGCCATGTGATAAGAGATGTCAGCACTCAGTCCACCAATGACTCCTATAATATTTCCTTGGGTACCACATCTGTAGTTGGGAATCATCTGATATGATTTGAAGAGAAGGTCCATAGTGGCACGGTATGTCATCCTCGCATTGAAATAGCTGTCATAGATCTGGAAGCCGAGGGTGTTGTTGGGCAGGATCTTGGGATTTTCATTAATCTGATGGATGGCAAACACCAAGGCCAGGATGTGCTGGTAGAACTTGGTCACCACACTAGAAATAAAGCAAAGTCTTGCAGTGTGAAAAGAGAACTCTAAAAGTGAATAAAATTATAAGCAGTGGAAACAATCTGGAAAGACTGCCCAGTTGAAGCCCAAATGGGAAGAGGGAATGTCTAGTTATGCATGACACACTTTCCCTGTGTCTCTCTTAAACATGCAGATTGTATTAAAGGCCCTCCTGAAATTCAACCATCTGTAGACAGAGGGCTGATGGAGTACCACATCCCAGCCTAAGTAACATGCTATTGGAATGAGATAACAAAACTGGAATGTGTTCAGAGGAGAGCAACTGTCATGCAAACACACATGGATTTTTCCATTTGGTTATAAGCACTCCTGAAATTCCATTCACTTTAGCCAGACCTCATCTGGAGTGCTACATCCAAGGCTAGCTAATGTGATTAGAAAGATAGAACAAATCTGGAATGTGTTCAGAGCAACACGTATGCTGTGAGAAATAGTTGAATGAACACTGTACATTTTGTCTGGCTAAGAAATGACTGAACGAACGTCTTTGAATGCAAATAACGTATTCAGTGTATGTCGAACAACTATATATATTTCAACTGTTTCCATTTTGCAAGGAATGCAATGTGGCATACACGGTTGTTCTTCTCTCCATTTTATGTGTACAAGAACCTGGGAATGATATTGGTCTTTTGTGGGATTCAGCCCACGGTCACCCAGCCATCCTCCCAGGCGCCTGCAAACTGGAAGAATTGTCAGCTGCACCTAATTCCAGCAATGTTCTAGCTAGTAAGCCACTCTGGTTTTCTTTCTACTCCAGCAAATATAAGATGCCATCGGAAATCGTCTAGGAAATGAGAGAGGACTGATAAAATGTCATCTAAATGTACTGGAATGAAAAATGCTTCTAACACTGATGTACATCCTACTGATTCATCTAACTGAGTGATAGTGGGATAACAAAAGAGCTAAACACAAAGAACAAAGACAGGATGACTCTCTAAGAAAACTAAGGACAGACAGCTGACTGAGTGGCCTTGTCACTCATGAGCTTCTATGCTGAGTGGAGACTCGAGCATTGGTTTCCAGAGTTCCCATCCAGCACTGGAAGCACTGACTACATGGAAAAACATGGTTTGTAAAGAAAAATATATTGAGGCGCACTGTACAAGATTCCTTACAATGGAAAGTCAATCAAATCCTGGGAAGGGTGCTTGTTAAACAGAACAATGGGGGAGATGTAATGAATGTGCGACGCCATCCCCCCAACAAGGAGCTCGCCTGCCTGGTTCCACTCTTGTGGGATATGAAGAGGAATGTTTCTGGTGCACTTTGTTGTCTTTGTTAGAATTGCCATGTGTGAGTGGAGCAGCACCACAAGCACCATCTGTCTCCTCGAAAATGTTCTCCTTCTCTTCCTTTCCCCCACGTCACACTCCACAGAATCACCACTATCCTCCTTTATTCTCATCCAAGCTGAGTTCAGGAGTCTGCTGCCTCTGCCAATGAACCGCTGAAGGTGCAAATGTCTTCTCTTCAGTGCTACTAGGTGGCTTCTTCATGCCAAGAGAATCTCACTGATTTGAAGCCAACCTACTTCAGGCAGGAGGAAAGTGTTTGAGATTTCTGAGGTCTATCAATTTCTAGCCTGTGAGCTGCTTTGTGAGCAGCAAAATATGCACGTGTGCTTTCAGTATCCATCTGCACCTTTGGAGGTGGACCTTTGTCCCTAGAGTTTTTCTAGAAGACACTGGAGATTTGGCCTCTTCTCTTAATGACAGTGCTTGTGATTGGAGGTTATGAAGATAATGAAGCTGGATACTGCTTGCTATCCCAACTCCTGGACAATCAGTGAAGCAACAAACATGCTTGCCAAATGCAAGCCATTCTACTTCTCAGTTGGTGGCCAGCAACTTTATGGGAACTTTGAATGATTCTAGGGTGGGATCCAAGAGCAAGTTATGCAGTGGCCCTTGACCCCAGAAATGCTGCAAGCAGTAAGCTAATCATGCCTGCAAAATCGAGTGCAATTTTTGCTGCAGTGCTCACAGTGCCAAACATGTACTCTGAATTCATGACAACCTCATTCATGGGGTGTTTTAAGCCCCACTTTTCAAATGAGTCTCAGACCAAAACCTTCTTTTGTTTTCTCAGAAAATGCCTTTTTCATAGACTGAGCGTTGATTCTTCCAAAGGAGAATTTTCTTTTGATCCCTGACAATGTTAGAACTATCGGGGAATCAGACCATCTGATTGGCTGACACTTGCAAGTTGTGATTGGTTATCTGTCCTTGTTGGAATGACTGCAACCCAGGGTTCCTGTAATTCCAATGAAGAAATTTTGGCCTAGCCTGGCATTGCTGGATTCTCCATGCCCTCCCCTCCCTTCTTTCATTTTCTGATTATTTCTGCTCTGCATCATTTTAAATCATCCTGTGGGGTAGTTCTGTTGCTCAATTTTCCATCTAAAATACTGTTAATGTAAAGATTTTAATTTCTATTATCAGTACCCAGAATGTTTACATGGATGCCCCAGCATGTAGAGACATTTCTAAATCGGACACCCAGGAGTGGTCAAATTCTGAGTCTTCATGTTCCTATTTCAGGGGAACGAGTGGAATGGCGAACAGCACACAGCTGAAGTTGCCTGTGGGGAGATCATCATGCCCATGACTTTTTGCTCCCACGCAATCCCCAAAACTACAGTGTTTAAAACTTTCTCCTCATGAGTTGGTCTCTGTTGTTGAGCCCAGGTCTCAGCACAATGATGTAGCATTTGGGGAAGAATATGCAGGCCAATAAGCCAGCACTGGAGGCCAAGATGGAGAAGATCTCCACAGCCACAATGGCCTTTCCTCTTGTGCTGAGGTAGGAGGGAAGAAAGGAGGCCCAGACACTGCAGAAGACCAGCAAGCTGAAGGTGATGAACTTGGCCTCATTGAAGCTGTCAGGCAACATCCTGGCCAGGAAGGCCACTGCAAAACCGACAGCAGTCAGGAGACCCATGTAGCCCAAGACACAATAGAACATGAGGACGGAGCCTTCATTGCAGAGCAGGATAATTTCTGTAGGCATGGAGTGCATGTCCGAATCTGGGAATGGGGGAGAAGTCATGAGCCGGAGAGCACAGATGCCTGCTTGAATATTGGAGCAGGAGCAGACAATGGCATAGGCTAGTCTTTTCCCCATCCACTTCCTCATCTGGGATCCTGGTTTGGTAGCCATGAATGCCAGCACCACAGACACAGTTTTTGCCAGGATGATGGAGAGGTACACAGACAAGACCAGGCCAAATGTAGCTTGTAGCATCAGGCAGGACAAAGTGTTGGGCTTTCCAATGAACAGCAAGGAGCAGGGGAAGCAGAGGATGAGTGATAGGAGGAGAATGTAGGTGAGGTTCCGGTTGTTTGCTTTGACGATGGCAGTGTCTCGATGCCTAATGAAGATATCAAGCACCAGAACCGAGATCAGGGAGAACAGAAATACTGCAGAAATGGAGAAGATGGCCAGAGTTTCATTCAGAGCTAAGAAGTTCAGAATTTTAGGAATGACTTGATTCTGCACTGTGTTGACATGTTGATCCTCTGGACAATTCATGCAGGTTTCAGTGTCTAAAAATGAGTAAAGCTGCATTAATTAAAAAGAACAAAAGTGTATTTAAGACTAACAATTGCCTGTGCTGATGTCTAAACAATCTTGAAAAATCTCATCCATTGAGGAGGTTCCATTTCTGTCCTCTCCCTTCTTAGTATTCTATTATTTCCTTCTGTTTTTTTACCTATAACCATCTTATGCTCATTCCATATATCATGCAAAATAGATATGATGCTTTAGTAACCATCTTGCTCTTTCTCCTTTCCTTTCACTAAGCATGATTAAATACGGCATATACATGGCCCTTTCTCTGTCATCCCTGGAACTACAAAGGCCCATGTTAAGCAATGCCACTGGATAAATTAGAAGGAAAAATCCTCTTGCACCCCAATTTGTAGTTGAATTTAAGAAGCATTGTTATGTGTTTGTGAGCGTTATATTCATTTTTAAGGTATCAGAGATTCCTCGGGGAAACATATAATGACATTGTGCAATGGAGTCAAGGTTCCTCATTTCAGGAAAAAATGCAAAATCTTCTTTAACCTCTTTGCAGACCCCAAAACTGTAATTGCCATGAAAAGAATGTCCTGTTATCCATTCCAGAGCACAGCCAATGCTATCATTTGGCAGAAGTATCTGGTAGCTTTAATTGAATTAATGCTACAATTCATTGCCATACTGATTTCCTTCAACGGGATGGCTTTAAGAAATATCAAACAGCACATATATAAGCTAAATAAGCATAAACTAAAAAAAAGAAATATAAGAAAAGAAAAGAAAAAATTGCCCCAAAAATGTGAATTCCCTGTGTCCCCCCTGCAGATAATTAATGATAAGAGAATTTGAAGAATCTTGTATTTTGGTCATTAGAAGACAATGCAGCTTGTTAGGCTTTAAAACATTAAAGAATTTAATGTTATATTTCCTACCCTCCTTGTCTGAGAACATCCCGTCTGGACATTGGGCACAGTCATAGCAACAAAATTTCTCCCCTTCTATCTTCTTCTTGCTGTACCCAGGAGCACACTTAGTATTACACAGAGAAAGTGGTGGCACCTGTCCAGAAATGAAGGGAGAGCCAAGCATTAAGAAAAGTTGGGAGCATGTCTCATGTCAGTTTATCTACTGGTAAGTGGAAAGCCCAATAACCTGGAGCACTGGAATGATAAGGGCAGAGATTCCACATTCCACAGGCTGAATGCACATCTTCCCATGAAAGGCAGATGATTAAACTTTCCTTAATTATCCTGGTCAATTGTGGAATGAGCCAAAGGGAGGGCAACGACCAATTGGAACTTCCACAAGAAAACAGTGATGGGCTTGTGTAATGATCCATGTTAGTCAGGGATATGTCAGTGCCAACCGTGTGCAAGGTCTGGAGTTCAATCCTGGCTTATGCAGGAAGGACAGGGAATACTCCTGGCAATAATCCTGGTGAACCTATGCCTCTCCTTGTTGAAAATACCAGCTAGAAGGAGCAATATTTGGACTGAGTAGAAGGCAGCAATATGTCCATGGATACCAAGCATCTTCTCTGGGCATGGCATTTACAATGACACAGCTTTTTTCCATTGGAATTTGAACATCCACATAATTTGTGTTATTACATAATATTTACAACTTCTGGGAAATGGGTTTCCCCCACCTTACTTCCAAACCAACAGACTGCTTTTTGGGCAAAGCTCTATATTGTCCAAGGGAAACCCAGAAAACCAAAGCCCTCCCTTTGAGTAGTCCTGGACCTGACAACACCAGGAAAGCCCTTCCAGAGGCAGGTGAGACTCTTAGCTGCACAACACCCCTCTAGATTTCTTGCCTTCCTCTCTCAAAGCCACATGATGGATTTAGGGGACATGCAAGGCTCCTCTGGTTTCTTTGCCTTCTGTCCCACATCCATTCCCAGCAATTGCAAGCTCCAAACATTCTCAGGCTCTGACCATCCTCAGGCTGCACCTCCTCTCCTGGGGTTAGCGGCCTTGAGAGAAGCACTTCTGGTTCCTTCCACTCTATACCTGGAAGTGGCATGCCAAGCTGACCCTGAGAAATGTGTCCAGACCAATTGGATCATCCATTCCCAATAATCCTTCAGCCATCCTCTAAGGAGCCCAAGGTATTCTAAACATCATGTTTCACCTACTGTCCATTCTTTTCTCACAAGGTCACAATGAAGTCGGATAGGCTGAGTGCCAGTGGTTACACAATCTGAGCCCTTAAAATTCACTATCAAATGTAGACTGAAGTGTGCTTTCCTGATTTCCACTTCAAGAATCAAAAGTTTAATTGACATCTACTGTCTTCAATCCACATTACTTTCTCTTTATGATTGTATTTCCATAATTGCCAGTCAATTCATACTAATGGACTCATGCATTGTGTGAAGAAATGCTTTCTCAAGATACTTCTTGATTTACAAGACATATCAGCAAATGCTGACAGGTGAAAAACAATACATTCATTTTCTTACCTGAGTCACATCTCATGGCCATTGGATTGGTGTCTTATTGATGGTGAATTGCATGCCAGGAGGTGCAAGAGGATCCAGGCTTCCGACTTTGACCTGGACATAGGAATCATTTGGGAAAATGACCAAATTCCTGACTTCAAATACACCCACCAACTCTCCATGTTCATTGAATCTAATTTCATCTCTAGCATTGTTGTTGAATGAGAGCCTCTGAATCCATGAGTGGAGCTAGTTGGAGACAGAAAGGAACCAAAGAGAGAGTCTATGTTTTAGAACACGTTTGACTGCAGAATTGAGAGTACTGTCCTCCAGGACAGGCAACATGTGTGAATGTAAGGGTGGAGAAATTACTGGTTTAGGTAATAGATATGGGGAAAATGAAGGAAATCAAGGAAATCCAGCCAATCCTGAAAAAATAAATTGTCTACACCGTGACTCAGTATTTTGTGGTACTTAGAGAAGCAAAGAAGCTTGATGATGATGAAGAAGTGTTACCTGCCAGGATTCCACCTGCTGAGGTGACAAGCTCCTCATTCCCCACATTGCTGTACGGCTGGATGGAGACCTGGAAGTGGTCTGGAATGCATGAGCCAGAGCATGGACAGCATTGTAGATACTGTAACTATGGCCAGTCATGGACATTTCAAAGAAAGGGGAAGATAGGTTGTGCAGCATCTCCTCTCCACTACATGTTGCATTCATATCCTTTGATGGAGAGCATCCAAAGGCTTGTTCCCAGAAAACATTAATAAAGCCATCAGCTCTTGTCCCAGCAGGGTGAATTGTCTGAAGAAATGTTTGGAAGCCCGGAATTACATTTGAATGGATTGTGAAGGAAAGATCACCATGGAACATTCACATTCCAATAGGCTTGAGAAACGTATGCAAACTAAAATCAATTTGGGCCATTGAAATCTGCACTCTTCTTGCAGTGATCATTCTTGTATAGTCATCATGGGTGAAAGAAACAATCAGTGTGAGCATTAGAGTACCAGCAAGCTACAAAACACTTGCACTTTTTCCATGTATAACAATCACACAGGCTTTCCTCGCAGTGTAGATAGGTACATGACTCAGTTTTTCACCGAGAATGTGGAACAGGTCAAAGTACTGCCAGTTGCCTTTGAATCTCTCTGTGAATTCGGAACAGATTCCATTTTGGGAAAGCATTGACTCCATGGTTTGCAAGAAATGTTCTGCACGTTCATCCTCTGTAGTGATGAGCCCGATCCATTTCCAGTGGAAATGGAGAAGAAGTTGCACAATTCCCTGATACTGAAGATCTTCATTGTGGACCATCCGGTAGAAGGAAGGCAAATGGGATTCTGTATTCACTGCTGTTTGAAATTAGACATATGAGAACTGAAGAAAGTAAAGGAAGGAAGGAAGGAAGGAAGGGAGGGAGGAAGGAAGGAAGCAGTCCAAAGAAAGACTGAGGGCTTCTTCATTCACGAGAGTCTACAACTTTATTCTCATCTTTCCTAGATAATATAATTCGTAGCAACAAGTTCATACAGATGATCCCTCAATACAACGTAAAATTTAAAAGACATTGAACAGTACATTCATCTCTAGTCTTAGCTTTACTGCATAAGATTGCAGCCTCAAAGAGCAATGCTATATGCACCTGCCCATAAGGAAGGCTAACTCAATTAAGTGAAATGTGATTCAGTCTCAGCTCAGAGAATATGTCAGAGTTTGGGAAAGAGGGAAGTTTTGGTTTTCTTTCAGCCTGCAGAACCTTTCCCCTGGTGTAAACTGGGCAGCAAGGAAAGAGATGTACTCATGTCAGAGGGGCAAAAACCTGGATTCCAATATATGCAAAAGGCAAAATTCTTTTGTTTATCACTGGGCTTGGGAGAAGAGGAAGATCATGTATGAGAGGGAGCAGTGACAATCAAGAGACAGCTGAGATTTTGCAAGAGCTGAGCAGGGCAGTGAAAGAGAGGACACTTTGGAGGGTGTATGTCCAGAGGGTCACCCATATCAGAGATGATGGCAAATAAGTGCAATCCTTTTGATACACATTTTGTGAAACCGCTCTTTTGCCTTGCCTTTATTTTCTAATCTTGCTTCCTCCTTTTTTTTGAACCATGCCAAAGATCCCAGAATGTGAATGCAATGAATAAATTATGAGGTAGTGATGGTCCTTCTTCCACTAGGAGAAGCTTTTCTGTTTCAGGAGAATATTTGAAGCATTTTTTGCTTTTTCCACCTTCCTTGACATCAATTTGAGTCCTGACTCATTCCTTTTAGGGGCTAGGTGGGCAGCTTTGTGCAGGAGGTGGCAGGATGGACCACATCCTCCTGACACCTTACCTGGGGGATCTTGTAAAGAGCAAAGATATCGGCCATACATGCAGAGGATCAGCACTCAAACCACCAATGACTCCAATGAGGTTTTGCAGGGTACCACATTGATAGTTGGGCACCATCTGATGTGATTTGAAGAGCATATCCAGGCTGGTCCAGTAGGTCATAATTGGATCGAAGTAGCTGTCATAGATCTGGAAGCCGAGGATGATGTTTGGCAATATATTGGGATTTTCATTGATCTCCGTAATGGCAAAGACTAGTGCCAGAATATGCTGGAAGAACTTGGTGATCACGCTGCAAGAAAAGTGGCTCTGTGTAGTTGGAGAATTTGTTGGACAATGCAATTCCACAGTGAATTTTGCTTCAGACCATACGGGAAGGTGCAATCTCACAAAGATCATCACAGCCAAGTCCAAATGAAGGTAGGGAAATGGGCTTTCAGCCTATATTTCTGCGGTTGTGGTAATAATGGGGCTATTGGAAGGAATCTAAAAGAATCTTGCCCAGGGCCATAGCTTATAGCACTCTATCCAAAAGATTCCCATTTTCTGGAACTTCTGTGTGATTATTCAGTCTCCTAAGCTCCAGTGACATTTTTGATTAAGATAGCAAGATGTTTTATTTTTCTGCTATGTACCTACCTGGATGTTTCATTTTACTGTTCCTCTACTAGTCTGTAACATTGCCATTCTATCTAAATATCCTTTTAAACATAGATATTTAATATACATTTAGTCCTGATTTTTATTAGTACCTGGAAACATCCAAAGGTCTTGAGTGGAACTTTTGAATGAAACAGTGCAAATAAATTTCAAACAAACAGTTCCTTTTTGCAAATATGGGCAATAATTTGCTGTCACAGAATCAAGACAAGAACTTTGAAGGGTTCCTTACAATGGGAATGTGAGTGATTCCTCAGCAGGGTGCTTGTCAAACAGAAGAACAGGGAATATGTAATAAATGTGAGACGCCATCGCACCAATGAGGAGCTCACCCGCCTGGTGCCACTCATGCGGAAGGTGAACAGGATCGTTTCCAGAGCATTTGGATGTCCCTCTTTGGATGGCTGCCTGGGGAAGGAGCAGCAACAGCAGCAGTAGCAGCACTCTGGTCAAAGGCGCCCCTCTCGAGTTCTTCTCCTCCATGTTTCTTCACCATTTCATTCTTCCATAAGCTGCATTTTTTCAAGCTGTGATTATGGTAAAATACCACCTTGCATTTTCCCAAAGCAATGTAAGTGCCTGCTTTGATTGTGTGCTAAAAGCCATGAGACTGAAGTTCTGACCTTTTTGTGGAAGGAGAAAATATTCCTTTGGTGAGCTCCCTGCTGACACTTGTCCCATTCCTGAGCTGTGCATGGCACTTGTGCTGCTGCACTGCTCTTGCATCCATGGAAGACTCCACTCTGGTCTTCCTTTCATTGCTGCCTTCTGGAAAGCCACTGGAGATTTGACCTGGTGAATTAAATCCCATGATTCTGACAATTACAGGGTAAATAATAAATGTGGACGGTGCATGGTGCCTCTGGCTGTGCAACCAGCAAAGAAAACAAGTTTGCCAAGCTTCAAAGCAACTTTCTTCTGCCTTGTAGGAGCACAACAGCTATGTAGCATCTTCAGGAGAACCCACAACGACCCCTAGGCTATGGAGTAATCGTTAGTCTCCTGGCCTGTGACTTGGAAGTTGTGGTTTGTAGTCAACCTCTATGTGTGATGATGCTGGGCCAGCCACTGATACTCAGTCTAACCTTCCGCAATAACCAATCAGTACATGAACTGTCTTAGGCCCCCCATGTTGAAAGATCACCTTGAATCTTTAACTTTCTTGTATCTCCCTGCAGTTCCACAACCATTTTTTGTAGATTCCCTTGGGTTCTTTCTCTAATAGGCCAATCTAATAAGCCATTCTGAAACATGAAGGAAATGTCAGCAGCAGGAGGCTGTGCAGGAACAGGTCCCCCTTTTCACTCCAGGAAACTCTCCTTGGACACCTGCCATTCCATTTCATATGTACATTCCTGTAGCTGAGCTCCTACTGAAGCTCAGGGATGGTTGCAAAAGTGTGACCCAAAGGCATTTGAAGTGGGGAGATCCAGGGCTGGCATCGCTTCTCTGTAATGTCTTCCCTTCCAGCTGGAGGCTAGATGGCAGTGCCTCCAATTAGGAGGGAATGAAATGGCTCCTCTTTGGGTCGACCTCGTGGAGTAGTGGAACATTCATCTTCACCAGAAGGAAACATTTTGCAAAGGAAGCTGAGCCTAGGAAAATTGGAGAAGTCCGGTTGAATTAAGTTTGCAGAACTGGCAATTGTCTTCTGTGTAATGGGCAGAAGTCTGCTGCTCATGATGCAGAAAAGGGATGATCCTGGCACTGATTTTTGTACAGGACCCAGTTCCTGGTAAGCACCACTAGACCACTGGACATGCTGGTCAGGAACCCAGACTCATTGGCTGGATCAAAGCAGGCACATCTCTAGGTTAATGTAAAGATTATACTTTCAGGGTTTTCATATATATATATATCTATATCTATAGATATATATATATATATAATTTTTATTTTCCAATCATATACAATTACATCTAAATATACAGAACCAAGGTAAAACTAACATAGTAAAACTAACTAACATGAGAACAAACAAAAGTGAGCATGGTAAACAACCTTGCCAAGGGAATTCCAGAGATAACAGCCAATTTACTGTGGCCTCCAGAACCAACTCTCTTCATACCTTCCCTCGCGCTATGAGAGTTTGCAGATAAGAAAAAAGCATCATTATTCTATACATCATCTGATTTCCTAACCAGTTCAAATTCTAATTACTTCCTTTCCCCCCACCAAGCTCCTTTAGAATTCCATAAATCCTGCAAAGCACAATAAAATTTCCATTTGTCATTAGATTCCTCTAATAGTCTTCTCTTTGCACAATAAATTAGCTTTGCCATCACTGCATATTCTGCTAATCCATTTCTCTATTCTTCAGTGGTTGGCTGCTCGGTTTTTCTTAAAAGTTTGTTTCTGGATTTGTAGAGGTCCATGGCAATGCCCCTTAGAGCTGCAGGCCCATGGCAGAAAAGCTTCTCTCTCCTCAACGCATCCACATAATTGCTTTTGCAGGTGGGTAAAAGAGAAGGGTGACATAGCTTTCTCCTGCTAACTCGAACAATGTTTCAACAGATTCAACCTCTAAGCCCAAAAAAAACTTGTTCAAGCTTTCATTGGTCCCCATGGGATGCATTGATGGAAACTAGAATAAGAGCATCACCCACACATTTAGGAAACTTCAGCCCAAACTTCTAGATAACTTCCTTCAGGGGTTTCCTGTAGCTGTTGAAAAGCATTAGGAAAAGGAACCATGCTTCAACCCACAGGCTAGTAGCTAAGGTGGAATGGAGACCTTCCTTCACCATCTTCTGGGACGATTCCTCCATAAAAGTGGAATCACATCTTCCATGTGCCACCTTTGCCCAGAAGGGTTGCATGTTTGATGACACGAGAAGATGCTGAAAAGTTGAAATGAACCTCCAGGGTTTCACTTTCCCTGTCTAGTCCATGGCATAAGCCATCAGCCAGGAGACCAGATCTGAAATTCAAGCACACCTAAATAGCCATGTTTTGGCATGAATATGGAAGATCCCTAACACCCCCAAATAGGGAGTCTGCAATGCCATTCACAAGAAAAACCTCCATCAGCTCCAAAAGAGTAATGGTTAGGCCCCAGAATGGGTGTTACATCAAAAGAATCCCAGTCCTGTTTCTGTTTGACTGTTGGATAGGTTAGCAGACCAGGGACACGGAAGCTTCCCAACCTTCCTGACCCTTCAGACAAAGCATGGTGATGCATGAGAAATCCTGGTGAACAGATGTGGGAGAGGTTCATCATTCTCCTTCCTGTAACCAGCTTTTGGTGACATGCTGTGTATTTATCAGGACAGAGATGATGTAACCCATGTTATCACTTGCTCTGCCATTTCTCCACAAGTCCTTCTGGCCAAAACGAAGTGCAGTGAAAGTAGCAGAGCTGAACAGCACAGAAATCAAGTATTCAAATGTTTCCATTTCACCTAAATGGTGTTATTACTTCCCACCATCATAATATGTTATACAGCAAAAGTGGCCCTGAAGTCTTCCACAAGGGGACAGTCAAATGAGTAGGGATGGAAGAGAATGGAGCATGGTTCAACTCTAAGTAGTATAAGATCTTGGAGTGCGGGTGTTCATGATGAGATCTGCAGGAAAAAAGCATGTCAGGGAAGAGGCATCTGTGTTGGTGCATATCAACAAGGCAATCATTGAATTGGAGCTTTTGGGTAATGTAGAAGACCACTAAAATGCCACTCAAGACCAAGTCATGTGAACATGTTGTTTGGGATGACAAGGAAATAAATATCAATGAAGGAAAGAATATGCTGGGAAGTGCATTCCTTCATCTAACTGTTGTGAGGATTGAAGCTAATGTCAGGAGGAATAAAGGTTTCAGCAGGGGGCTAATGGTTGATGACATCAGAATTCCTGAGCAAAAGACAAAAAGGATCTTCCCATTTGCAGAAGGAAGACGACTAAATCAGCAGGTGAATTCTCTTTTGGCAGCAGATGCGGGGAATGTGCCTGAGGGCACCAAACAAGGCTATGCTTCCCTTTAAGTGTGGGATAGCTGAGGCAGCTGGTTTACTTTGCCCACTGTTAGGTTTCAGATGCTGTTGTTTCACCCTGCTGATAACTTCTGAGCAAACAAAGATGGAAAATGTCCCTTCCTCTCAACTTCGAAGTATCTAAACTTAGCTACTTTTGGGTGTCCCCATCGTTTCCTGCTATCTACCGTTGCACAGCCATCCATGTAGCCCTCAAATGCATTCTGTTATCTATGTTTTGAATTCTGTATTAATTTTCATTTTTAAAAAGATATAGAAGCCTAATCCGCTTGCCACAAGCATCACGAATGTGCCCCGGTATATAGATAAATATTTTGATCTCACTAGTCCTGTGTGCTCGTGCTTATGTGGTAAAGCAGAAACAATTCTGGATCCATAACTGACAGTATCTTGTCTGGTCAAGCCTGGACTGAATCCCACATTTGGACAATAATCCTGGCACCTGATGTGGGGCTGACTCATCTTGATTATACTGGGCAGAGGACCTGGAATGGTTAGTTTCTGTGTACTTATGTGTCTGTTTCAGGAGAATGAGTGGATTGATAAACAGCAAAAAGCTAAGGTAGTTTGTTTTTTTTTCATGCTAACTGCTTTTATGTGATTGTTGGATACCTGACACAACAGGGAGACCAGAAGCTTTCCTGAATTTACATCTTTCTCTGCATGAGCCTCTCCTTCCTGTTGAGCTCAGGTCTCAGCACAATAATGTAGCATTTGGGGAAGAATATGCAGGCCAATAAGCCTGCACTGGAGGCCAAGATGGAGAAGATCTCCACGGCCACCATGGACTTTCCACTTGTGCTGAGGTAGGTTGGGACAAAGGAGACCCACACACTGCAGAAGACCAACATGCTGAAGGTGATGAACTTGGCCTCATTGAAGCTGTCAGGCAACTTTCTGGCCAGGAAGGCCACTGCAAAGCTGACTGCAGCCAGCAGCCCCATGTAGCCCAAGACACAATAGAACATGAGGACTGAGCCCTCATTGCAGAGCAGGATAATTTCAGTAGACATGGAGTGCATGTCTGAATCTGGGAATGGGGGAGAAGTCATGAGCCAGAGAGCACAATTGCCTGCTTGAATGCTGGAGCAGGAGAAGACAATGGCATAGGCCAGTCTTTTCCCCAACCAGTTCCTCATTTGGGAACCTGGTTTGGTAGCCATGAAGGCCAGCACCACAGACACTGTTTTTGCCAGGATGGTGGAGAGGCAAACAGAGAAGACCATGCCAAATGCAGCTTGTCGAAGAAGGCAGGACACAGTGTTAGGCTTTCCGATGAAAAGCAAGGAGCAGAGGAAGCAGAGGAGGAGGGAAATGAAGAGTATGTAGGTGAGGCTCCGGTTGTTTGCTTTGACGATGGCAGTGTCTCGATGCTTAATGAAGATGCCAAGCACCAGAACTGTGGTTAAAGAGAACAGAATTCCTGAAGAGATGGAGATGATGGCCAGAGTTTCATTCATAGCTAGGAAGTTTGGGATCTTAGGAATGCATTTATTCTGTCCTTTGTTGGTGTGTTGTCCCTCTGGACAATTCATGCAGGTTTCTGTATCTAAAAACAAGGAAACTCGTATTAATTTAAAACTGAACCAAAATTTAGTCCAGACTGAGTTGAAAAGTTCATCCTTGGAGGAGGTTCCCTTTCTGCCTCAGAATACTCCCACCTGAGTATTCTTTTCTGTCTTCCTTTTGTATCTCACGCATGCTTGTCCTACTCTCACTTCCTTTATGTGAATCAGAATAGTGATGCTGATTTAAACATCTCTTCAATTCTTTTTCACCAAGTATGAGTACAGAAGCCAGTAATTTGGCTCTTTCTCTTCCCTTCCGAATGATGTAGCTTCAGCATGGAAAGCAGAGCAGGAAGATTTAGGGAGCAAGGCTTCTAATTAAGGCATGTCCAGCTCCCTCCCACAATGATGATGAAGTGAGAACTACTTCAGCAGATCAGGATGGACATGCTGAGGGACCCCAGATAGGATTCTGGGAAGCTCCTTCCAGTGAGAGGTCCTATTGTCATTCATTGAAATGTTTAAAACCCTTTCTGAGCTTTGCTATCAGTGGAAATATTTTCTAAGCTTAGGATGGAAAGTCATTGCAGAGGAGGAGGGATAACTCTTTTCCAATTTTACTGCCATAGGGAAAGCTGCTGTCACAATAACAGCAAAGTTTAGGGCAGAACTTACATTAGCACCAAAGGATTTTCTTTCCTAAGGAGGAATGCCAGAATCGTTGGGATGGGAGAACAGGCCACACAGAGACTGTGCATCTGGCAGCTTTAGTTTAATTAATGCTACCGTTTATTGTCGTACTGCTTTTCCTTCATCAGGATTGCTTTTAGAAATAAGAATTATGCACATGATGGGCAGAGCCAGCTGGAGCTGGGAGTCAGACTAGATGGCCCGGGAGGCCCATTCTGACTTACTCTGATGCACATATACCAACTGAATAATCATAAAAGAAAAAAAAAAAAGAAAAATAAGAAAAGGAAAGAGAAAAATACCTCAGAAATGTGAATTCTCCCCCCTCCCTGCACCTGTGATAATCAATGATAAGAGAATTTCAAGAAGTGTGTATCTGGGTCATTAGAAGGCCATGCAACTTGTTAGGCTTTAAAACTTTAAAGAAGTTTAATGTTATATTTCCTACCCTCCTTCTCTGAGAACATCCCATCAGGACATCGGGCACAGTCATAGCAACAAAATTTCTCCCCTTCTATCTTCTTCTTTCTGTACCCAGGAGCACACATATAATTACACAGAGAAAGTGTGGCACCTGTCCAGAAATGAAGGGAGAACCAAGCATTAAGGAAAGTTGGGAGCATGTCTCATGTCAGTTTATCTACTGGTAAATGGAAAGCCTAATGACCTGGAGCACTGGAATGATAAGGGCAGAGATTCTGCATTCCACAGGCTGAATGCTCATCTTCCCATGAATGGCAGACAATCAGACTTTCCTTAATTATCCTAGTCAATTGTGGGATGATCCTAACATTTAAGGGAAGACCACAACCAAGAGAATTGCAGCTTTCACAAGAAAGCAGTGATGGGCATGTGTGCTGATCCATGTTAGTCAGGGACATGTCAGTGCTAACCATGTGCAAGGTCTCGAGTTCCACCCGGGCCTATGCAAGAAGGACTGGAAATACTCCTGATAATAATTCTAGGGGGGACACTGATGGTCCTTGTTGACAATACCAGCTAGAGGGACAAATGATTGGACTGAGTAGAAGGCAGCAATCTGTCTATGGATGCCTAGCATCTTCTCTGAGCTTGCATTTAAAAGGTCGTAGCTTTTTTCCAGAGGAATTCCAACATCCACATAATATGTGTTATTACACAATATTTATATCTTCTGGGAAATGGGTCTCCCCCTCCTTACTTCCAAACCAATAGACCACTCTTTGGGCAAACCATGAAGAGACCTTCAGTAGTGGGGTGAGCCTCTGAGTTGCCCACAACCCTGATGTTGGCTGGCCCTTCTCTCTCAAAGCCATGCCATGGGGTTAGGGATCATGTGAACCCACTGAGGAAGCATAGGCTGAGTGCAGTGACTACCCAACCTCTGCCTTTAAATTTCATCTCAAAATTTAGACTATAATGCACTCTCTTGATTCCCAATTCAGGAATCAAAAGATTAAATGACATCTACTGTCTTCAATCAACAATTCATTCTCTTTATAGTTGTATTTCCATAATTGCCAGCCAAATGCATTCCACTGAACTCATGCATTTTATGAAGAAATGCTTTCTTGTGATATTTCTTGAGTTACATGGTATGTCAGCAAATGTTAATAGGTGAAAAAAATACAGTCATTTTCCAACCTGAGTCACGTCTCCTGGCCATTGGATTTGTGTCTCATTGAGGGTGAATTGCATGCCTGGAGGAGCAAGAGGATCCAGGCTTCCGACTTTGACCCGCACATAGGAATCGTTTGGGAAAGTGACCAGATTCCTGACTTCAAATACACCCACCAACCCTCCATGTTCATTGAATCTAATTTCATCTCCAGCATTGTTGTTGAATGAGATTCTTTGAATCAATGAATGGAGCTAGATGCAGACAGAAAGGAAACAAAGAGACAGTCAATGTTTTAGAACAAGTTTGATTACCTGATTGGAGGCACTGTCCTCCAGGACAGTCGGCATTTGTGAAAGTAAGGGTGGTAAATTTAATGGTTTAGGTACTAGATATGGAGGAAATGAGGGAAATTTGAGTAGGTGTTCAAACAAAGCTTGACTGCTTCTGTTGAAATGGAGTGATCAACAGCATACTGGATACAGGAGGTGGCAGCACTTTGTGCTATTGTATTGAGCAAACAGCCTTGATGATGATGATGATGAAGTGTTACCTGCCAGGATTCCACCTTTTGAGGTGACAAGCCTCTCATTCTCTGCATTGCTGTATGGCTGGATGGAGACCTCAAAGAGGTCTGGAAAGCATGAGCCAGAGCATGGACAGCATTGTAGATGCTGTAACTGTGGCCAGTCATGGTCATTTCAAAGAAAGGTGAGGATAGGCTCTGCAGCATCTCCTCCCCACTGCATGTTGTATTCACTTTCTTTGATGTCCCAGAATTGAACACAGAGCATCCAAAGGCTTGTTCCCAGAAAACATTGATGAAGTCATCAGCTATTGTCCCAGAGGGATGTATTGTCTGAAGAAATGTTTGGAAGCCTGGAATCTCATTTGAATGAATTGTGAAGGAAAGAGCACCATGGAACATTCTCATACCAACAGGCTTGTGAAAAGAATGCAAAGTGAAATCAATTTGGGCCGTTGAAATCCACACTCTTCTTGCAGTGATCTTTTCTCTATAGTCATCTTCTGTTAAAGGAAAAATCAGTGTGATCAATATAACAGAAGCTAACCACAAAACATTTGTACTTTCTCCATGTATAACAACCACACTGGCTATTTTCTCAGTGAAGATAGGAACATGACTCAGTGTTTCATTGAGAATGTGAAACAGGTCAAAGAACTGCCAGTTGGCTTTGAGTTTCTCTGTGAATTCTGAACAGATTCCATTTCGGGAAAGCATTGGCTCCATGGTCCTCAAGAAAAGTTCTCCACGTTCATCATTTGTTGTGATGAGCCCAACCCACTCCCACTGGAAATGGCGAAGAAGATGGATGATTCCCTGGTACTGAAGATCTTCATTGGGGATCATCCGGTAGAAGGAAGGCATATGGGATTCCTCACTCACTGCTATATGAAATGAGCCATATGAAAACTGAAGGAAGCAAAGGAAGGAAGGAAGGAAGGAAGGAAGTCCAAAGTGAGACTGAGAACTTTTTCAGTCATGATAGTCTTCCTATTCATTCTCAACTTTCTTAGTTAATGTATTTCATTTGATGTACTTCATTCAAATGATCCCTCAAAGCAATGTTGATTGAATTAGAATATGAGGAACAGTGCAGTCATCAATTGAGCTAGTTCTACTTTGTGATAAGTGGACATAAGATTGCAGCCTCTAAGTGCACTGCCATGTGCACAAGGAAAGTTAATCAAGGGAGGTTAATCAAATGAAATGGGATTCAATCTCAGCTCAGAAAATATAGCAGGTTGGCAAGGGGGCAATTTTGGCCTTTCACTCTGCAGACCCCTTAGTTGATTTCCCCTTGGGTAATTGGGGGTATTTTCAAAAGATCAATTTCATTGGGGAGCATTTCTTCAGATAATTAAATGATAGATGATGGCAAATAACAGCTTATGCAATTTATGCAAACCTTCACAATCACATTGCCTTTCTAATCTTGGTCCCTTTTCTTTTTAAACCAGGAAATTGATCACAGAAAATAAATACAATGAACTAATTATGAGGTTTCAATGTGCCTTCTTTCCACCTGAAGAAGCTTTCCACTTGCAGATGGACACTTCATCATTTTTATTTTTCCCTCTCCCTTGACATCCGTCTGACTCCAACTCATTCCTGCCAGGGGCTGGATGGGCTGCTTAGGGCAGGAGGTGGTGGGATTGACCATGTCCTCCTGACATCTTACCTGGGGGATCTTGTAAGGCCCGAGGATATCTGCAATGCATGCAGAGACTTCAGCACTCAGTCCACCTATGACTCCAATGAGCTTTTGCTGTGTGCCACATTGATAGTTAGGGACCATCTGATGTGACTTGAAGAGCATATCCAGGCTGGTCTGGTAGGTCATCTTTGGATCAGAGTAGCTGTCATAGATCTGGAAGCCGAGGGTGATGTTGGGCAGGATGTCAGGATTCTTATTGATCTCATGAATGGCAAACACCAATGCCAGGATGTGCTGGTAGAATTTTGTCAACACACTGTGAATAAAGTGATTTGCTGCAGCTGGGTGATTCTTTAGAAGGAAAACATCTGCATTGAATGTAGTCACTGATCTTAAGCAGAGGGCACAACCTCAAATGTATCTTCACAACCATTCCCCTTGAATACTAAGTCATGGTACTCACAGCTAACAGCTCCTGGATTGTGCTGCAAGCAGGATCAGTGCAGGGCAGAGCAGTACAAGGATTCAGCACCAGGGCCATAGGTCATGCTACTCAACCAAAATTATTTCTATTCATATTTTGATATGCAATTTTGAAATGCCTACTTGGAGGCAGGGAAGGTCATGTGGAAGGATTGCAGTTCCTTTGGCTGTCCTTTGCAAGCTCTTTGCAGTGGAGAACAGGCTAACCTCTGTACCTCTCGGAATGCTTCACAGTGCAACTCTACGCATGTCCTACACAGAATACGTCCTTCTGATCTCAATGGGACTTACCACAAGGGAAGTGAGTATCAGTCTGCAACTTTAGAGAATGACCTCTTTTTTCTGGAACTGTTGTGTAATTATGTAGGCTCCTATGCTCAGGAGATATTTTGGTTATGGGAGATGGTGATGGCGATTATCATGATAACAAATATTATATACCTTGATTTTACTTTACTTCTCCTCAATTGTTCTGTAATGTCCTTCTAACTACACATGATATCTAAACTTGTATATATATTAAACATATTTGTAGTCCTGATTTGAATTAGTACCTGCAAATAGCCAAAGGTTTTTTAAAAAATTGAGTGGCATTTTAAGTGAAACTATACAAATAAGTATTAAAGAAGCAGTCCATTTTGCAAAGTAAGGGCAACAATTTGCAGTCACCGAACCAAGACTTGAGGTTTGAAGGGATCCTTACAATGGGAACGTGAGTGTTTCCTGAGCAGGGTGCTTCTCAAACAAAAGAACAGGAAACATGTAATGAATGTGAGATGCCATCCCACCGATGAGGAGCTCACCCGCCTGGTGCCACTCATGTGGTATGTGAACAGGATCGTTTCCAGAACATTTGGATGTATTTTCCTGGATGGCTGCCTGTGGAAGGAGCACCACCAGCAGCAGTAGCAGCACTCTGGTTGGAAGTGCCCCTCTCAAGTTCTCCTCTTCCATGGCTCTTCACTGTTTCATTCTACCATGAGCTGCATTCAGACAAGCTGTGAATTTTCTCAAAGCAATGCAAGTGCCTGCCTTGAATGTGCACTGTAAGCCATGAGTATGCAGCCTGACTTTTTTCTGGAAGGAGAAAACACTCCTTCAAAGATATCCCTGCTGACACTTGTCTCAGACCAGAGCTGTGGGTGACACTTGTGCTGCTGCATCTATGGAAGGCTCCACTCTGGTCTTCCTTTCATTGGTGCCTTCTGGAAAGCCACTGGAGGTTGACCCGGTGAATTAAATGCCATGATTCTAACAATTACAGGGAAAATAACAACTCTGGATTCCATATGGTGCCTCTGCTGGCACAACCAGAAAGCAAATAAGTTTGCCAACTTTCAGAGTAACTTTCTGCTGCTCTGTAGGAGGACAACAGCTATGAAGCATCCTCAGGACAATCCACAATGGCCTCTGGGGTATGGAGTAATGGTTAGTCTCCTGATCTGGGACTTGGAACTTGCAGCTTCTAGTCAACATCTGTGTGTGATGATGCTGTGCCAGCCACTGACACTCAGTCTAATCTACCGCAATAACCAATCAGTGCATGAACTGTCTTTGGGTACTCTTGTTTAAAGATTGCCTTGGATCTTTAACTTTCCCAGATCTCACTGCAGCTACACAACCATTTTGTTTAGATTCCCTTGGGTTCTTTCTCTAATAGGCCAATCTAATAAGCCATTCTAAAACATGAAGGAAATGTCAGCAGCAGGAGTTTGTGCAGGAACAGGTCTCCTTTCTCATTCCAGGAAACTCTCCTTGGGCACCTGTCATTCCATTTCATGTTTACATTCCCGTAGCAGAGTTTCTACTGAAGCTCAGAGATGGTTGCAAAGTGTGGCCCAAAGGCATTTGAAGGGGGAAGATCCAGGGCTGGCATCGCATCTCTGTTATGGCTTCTCTTCCAGCAGGAGGCCTGATGGCAGTGCCTCCTTTTAGGAGGGGATGAAATGGCTGCTCTTTGGGTAGACCCCGTGGAGTTGTGAAACATTAATCTGCACCAGAAGTAATAGTTTTCCAAAGCAAGCAGAGCATAGGAAAATCAGAGAAGTCCTGCTGAATGATGTGTGTAGAACCGGCAATTGTCTTCAGTGTCATGGGCAGAAGTCTGCTGCTCACGATGCAGAAAAGGGATGATCCTGGCCCTGATTTTTATACATGACCCAGTTCCTGGCATGCACCACAAGACTACTGGGAATGCTGGTCAGGAACCCAGACTCATTGGATGGATCAAAGCAGACACAAATCTAGATCAATGTAAAGATTAGTCCTTCAGGGTTTTCTTTTATATTTATATATATGTAATTTTTATTTTGCAAACATATACAATTATGCAGGAAAATATAGAACAAAGGAAAATTAACCTAAACAGAAAAAACTAAGTTAAGAAAAATAAACAAAGGTGCCAAGGGAATTCCAAAGAACACAGGCCATATACTGTGGCCCCCAGAACCAACTCTCTTCACATCTTCCCATGCTCTATGAGAGTTTGCAGATAAGAAAAAAGCATCATTATTCTATGCATCAATAGATTTTCTAACCAGTTCAAATTCTAATGCTTTCCTTTCCCCCCTCCTAGTTCCTCTAGAATTCCATTAATCATGCTAAGCATGACAAAATTTCCATTTGTCATTACATTTCTCTAATGGTCTTCTTTTTACATAGTTAGCTTTGCCATCACTGCATATTCTCCTAATCCATTTCTCCATTCTTCAGTGGTTGACAGCTAGGTTTTTCCTAAAAGTTTGTTTTTGGATTTGTAGAGGTCCATGGTAATGCCACTTAGAGCTGCAGGCCCATGGCAGAAAAGCTTCTCTCTCCTCAACTCATCCACATTATTGCTTTTGCAGGTGGGTAAAAGAAAAGAGTGACATAGCTTTCTCCTGCTAACTCCATCAATGTTTCAACATATTCACATGCTCAGCCCAAAAAAAACTTGTTCAAGCTTTCTTTGGTCACCATGTGATGCATTGATGGAAACAAGAATAAGAACATCACCCTCACATTTGGGAAACTTCAGCCCAGACTTCTAGATAAGTTCCTTCAGGGGTTTCCTACAGCTGTTGAAAAGCATTAGGAAAAGGAACCGTGGTTCAACCCACAGGCTGTCGTGCCTAATGCCTCAGAGGAGGCTTTAGCACACGTGAGAAGGCCAGAAGCTCATGGTGAGAATCAGGCTTTAGAGCAGGGAGATTTATACTTAGTGCCCATGGCCAAACGGCCTCCTGCCTCCCAACTCTGAGAGTTCTGAGCTAATAACTTCCCTGCCTCCTGATTCTGAGGTTTTTGAGCAGGTTGCCGCTTCCCTGCCTCTTGACTCTGAGGTTTTTGAGTGGGTTGCCCCCCACCCCGCCGCCTGACTCTGAAGCTGTTGGGTGGATTGCTGGAGAAAAAGGGGACATGGCAGGAGCTATAGAAGATGCGCAAATTAGGAGGAGACTTTGTCGCTTAGACCAATTGAGACAAAGAAGAGAGAGAAGCTTGTCCAACCCACGTGCAGAGAGACGTGAGAGGAGATGGAATCCTCAGGACTTTTCCTAGAGAATTCAGAAATGAGGGGGCAACTGAACTGCATAGAGCACTCCGCTACAGCTCCTTATCTGCCTGCAATAGCCATAAATCTTGTAGTTGTTAGTAATAAAAGTCTTTAGTTTTATGGCCAGCTGCTGTGTAAGTTAATTGGAGACGTGAGTTGCGACTTCACAACACAGGCTAATAGCTAAGGTGGATGGAGGCCTCCCTTCACCATCTTCTGAGATGACGCCTCCATAAAAGTGGAGTCACATCATCCCTTTGCTGCCTTTGACCAGAAGGGTTGCATGGTTGATGACATGAGAAGCTGCAGAAAAGTGGAGATGAACCACCAGGGTTGCACTTCCCCTGTCCAGTCCTTGGCATAAGCCGTCAGTCAGGAGACCAGGTCTGAAACTCAACCACACCAAAACAGCCATGTCTCAGCATGAATATGGAAGATCGCAAACACCCCCAATTTCAGGGTCTGCAATGCCATTCACAAGAAACACCTGCATCAGCTCTGATAGGGTTAGGATTCGGGCCCAGAATGGGTGGTACATCAAAAGAATCCCAGTCCTGTTTCTTGCTGCCTGTTGGAAGGGGGATAGAAGAGGCCCAACATTCCTGACCCTTCATGCAAAGTGTGGTGATGGATGAGAAGATCTGGTGAATGAATCTGGGAGAGGTTCACCATTCTTTTTCCTTCAGCCAGATTTTGGTGACATGCTGTGTATTTATCAGGACAGAGATGATGCATCCCATGTTATCACCTGCTCTGGCATTTTTCCACAAGGCCTTCTGGCCAAAAAGAACAGCACTGAAAGTAGCAGAGCCGAACAGCAAAGAAATCAAGGATTCAAATATTTCTATTTTACCTAAATGGTGTTATCAATTCCCACCTCCATAACATGATGTTATACAGCAATAGTGGCCCTGAACTCTTCCACAAGGGGGCAATCAAACGAGTAGGGATGGAAGAGAATGGAGTGGTTCAGCTCTAAGTAGTATAAGATTTTGGAGTGTGAGTGTTCATGATGAAATCCACAGAATGGGACATCTCCAGGAAAATAGAAACTAAAAGAAGAGGCAGCTCTGCTGGTTCATATGAAGAAGCCAATCATTGAATTGGAGCTCTTGTGTAAAGCAGAAGGATCTAAAATGCCACGCAAGGCCAAGTAATGTGAACATGCTGTTTGTGATGGCAAAGAAAGATATATCAGTGAAGGAAAAATATGCTGGGAAGTGCATCCCTTTATCCGGCTGCTGTGAGGATTGAAGTTAATGTCAGAGGGAAAAGAGGGTTCAGCAAGGGGCTAACGGTAGATGACATCAGAATTCCTGAGCAAAGGACAAGAAGGATCTTCCCATTTGGATAGAAGGAAGATGACTAAATCAGCAGGTGAATTCTCTTCTTGCAGCAGATGTGGGGGATGTGCCTGAGGGCACCAAGCAAGGCTATGCCTCCCTTTAAGTGTGGGATAGCTGAGGCAGCTGGTTTACTTTGCCCACTGGTAGGTATCAGTTGCTGTTTTTTCACCTTGCTGGTATCTTCTCAGCAAACAGAGATGGGAATTATCCCTCCCACCCAAGCACTAAGCATCTAAACTTAGCTACTCTTGGGTGTCCACCTCCTTTCCTGCTATCTAACATTGCACAGCAATCCCTGTTGCACTCATATGCATTCTGTTATCTATCTATGTTTTGAATTCTGTATTGATTTCCTTTTTAAAAAGAGATAGAATCCTAATTCACTTTCCACAAGCATCACGAATGTGCCCCGGTATATAGATAAATATTTTGATCTCACTAGTCCTGTGTGCTCGTGCTTATGTGGTAAAGCAGAAACCATCCTGGACCTGCTCCACATCTGACAGTATCTTGTCTGGTCAAGCCTGAACTGAATTCCACTTCTGTGGACAACAATTCTGATGCCTAATGAGGGGCAGCCTCATCTTGGTTATACTGGACGGTGGTCCTGGAATGGATAGTTTCTGCTTACTTATGTGCCATTTCAGGAGAATGAGTGGATTGGTAAACATCAGAAAGCGAAGGCAGTTTGCTTGTCATGCTACCTGCTTTTATGTGATTGCTGGATACCTGACGCTACAGGGAGAAGAGAAACATTCCTGCATTTATATCTTTCTCTGCATGAGCTGCTCCTTGTTGTTGAGCTCAGGTCTCAGCACAATAATATAGCATTTGGGGAAGAATATGCAGCCCAATAAGCCAGCACTGGAGGCCAAGATGGAGAAGATCTCCACGGCCACCATGGACTTTCCTCTTGTGCTGAGGTAGGTTGGGAAAAAGGACAACCACACACTGCAGAAGACCAGCATGCTGAAGGTGATGAACTTGGCCTCATTGAAGCTGTCAGGCAACTTCCTGGCCAGGAAGGCCAGTACAAAACTGACTCCAGCCAGGAAACCCATGTAGCCCAAGACACAATAGAACATGAGGACGGAACCCTCATTGCATAGCAGGATGATTTCTGTAGACATGGAGTGCATGTCTGAATCTGGGAATGGGGGAGAGGTTGCCAGCCACAGAGCACAGATGCCTGCTTGAATATTGGAGCAGGAGAAGACAATGGCATAGGCCAGTCTTTTCCCCACCCACTTCCTCATCTGGGATCCTGGTTTGGTTGCCATGAAGGCCAGCACCACCGAAATGGTTTTTGCCAGGATGGTGGAGAGGCACACAGAGAAGACCATGCCAAAAGTAGCTTGTCGCAGAAGGCAGGACACAGTGTTAGGCTTTCCAATGAAAAACAAGGAGCAAAGAAAACAGAGGAGGAGGGAAATGAGGAGTATGTAGGTGAGGCACTGGTTGTTTGCTTTGACGATGGCAGTGTCTCGATGCCTAATGAAGATGCCAAGCACCAGAACTGTGGTTAAAGAGAACAGAAACGCTGAAGAAACGGAAATGATGGCCAGAGTTTCATTCAGAGCTAAGAAGTTTGTAATCTTAGGAATGCATTGATTCTGCACTGTGCTGGCATGTTGACCTTTTGGACAATTCATGCAGTTTTCCGTATCTAAAACAAAGAAACATATTAATTTTTATACGAACGAAAATGTAGTCGAATAACTGTTGCGTATGACTGTGCAATCTTAAAAAATCTCATCCATTGAGAGGTTCTATTTCTGTCCTGTCCCTTCTTAGCAGTCTGTTCTTTCCTTCTTTTGTATCTCACCCTTATCCACTCCTATGCTCTCCCCCTCATATGATGCAGACTAGATACTCTGCTTTGGGTTTCCTTTCTTCCTTTCATTAATCATGATTAAATATGCCATGTACTTGGCCCTTTCTCTCTCTTCCCTGGAGCTACATAGACCCATATTAAGCAATGCCACTGGCTAAATTAGAATGACAAATCCTCTCCCACCCCTGATTTGAACTTGAATTTTGGAAGTGTTTTTATGTGTTTTGTATATATTCAGTTTTCCCCTGAGGAAATGTGTAAAGCCATTGCTCAATGGAGTCAAGGCTCCTCAATTCAGGATTAAAAAGGAAAGATCTGCATAAACCTCTTTCCAGGTCCCAAAAGCTGCAATTGCCATGAAAAAAAATGTCCTGATATCTATTCCAGAGCAAAGCTCATGCTGTCATTTGGCAGAAGTATGTGGTGGCTTTATTTTAATTAATGCTAGAATTTATTGCCATACTACTTTTCCTATATCAGGATGGCTTTTAAAAATATCAAATAGCAAATATATCAACTAAATAAGCATAAAAGAATAAAAGAGAAATAAGAAACGGAATGGAAAAATGCCCCTGAAATGTGATCCCCACCCCCCACATAATTAATGATAAGATAATTTCAAGAAGCTTGTATCTGGGTCATTAGAGGACAATGCTGCTTGTTAGGCTTTAAAACTTTAAAGAAGGTTAATGCTATATTTCCTACCCTCCTTGTCTGAGAACATCCCAACAGGACATCGGGCACAGTTATAGCAACAAAATTTCTCCCCTTCTATCTTCTTCTTGCTGTATCCTGGAGCACACATATCATTACACAGAGAAAGTGGTGGCACCTGTCCAGAAATGTAGTGAGAGCCAAGCATTAAGGAAACATTTGGGAGCATGTTTCATGTCAGTTGATCTACTGGTAAATTGAAACCCCAGTGATATGGAGCACTGGAATGATAAGGGCAGAGATTCTGCATTCCACAGGCTGAATGCACATCTTCCCATGAAAGGCAGATGATTAAACTTTCCTTAATTATCCTGGTAAATTGTGGAAGGAGCCTAACATCTAAGGGAAGGCAATGACCAATTGAATTGGAACTTCCACAAGAAAGCAGTGATGGGCATGCACAATGATCCAGTTTAGTCAGAGTAAGCTAATTGCTAGCTATGTGCAAGGTCTCAAGTTCCATTCGGGCCTATGCAGGAAGGACTGGAAATACTCCTGGAAATAATCCCAGTAGGGACACTGACTGTCCCAATTGGCAATACCAGCTTGAAGCACCAATGATTGGACTAAGTAGAAGGCTTCAATCTGTCCATGGATGCCTAGCATCTTCTCTGAGGTGTCATTTACAGTGCCACAGCTTTTTTCCAGAGGAATTCCAGCATCCACATAATTTGCGGTTTTACATAACATTTATATCTTCTGGGAAATGGGTTTCCCCCTCCATACTTCCAAACCAACAAACTGCTCTATGGGCAATGCTCTTTATTCTCCAAGTGACATCTAGAAAACCAAAGCTCTCCTTTTGAGTAGTCCTGGACCTGACCTCTCTAGGAAAACCCATCTGGAGCTAGGTGAGACTCTTAACTGCACAGCACCCCTGTAGTCTGGCCCTTCTCTCTCGATGACATGTCATTGTGTTAGGGGTCCTGTGAACCCAGGGAGGAAACATGGGCTGAGTGTAGTGATTACCCAACCTCAGCCTTCACAATTCATCACAAAATGTAGACTAAAACCCACTTTCCTGATTCCCAATTCAAGAAACAAATGATTAATCAACATCTACTGTCTTCAATCAACATTTTATTCTCTTTATAATTGTATTTCCATAATTGCCAGCCAATGCATTCCACTAAATTCATGCTTTCTGTGAAAAAATACTTTTCCATGATCTTTCTCAAAGGTTGATAGTGAGAAACAGTACAGTCATTTTCCAACCTGAGTCATGTCTCTTGGCCACTGGATTTGTGTCTCATTGAGGTTGAATTGTTTGCCTGGAGGAGCAAGAGGATCCAGGCTTCCAACTTTGACCCGCACATAGGAATTGTTTGGGAAAGTGACCAAATTCTTGACTTCAAATACACCCACCAACTCTCCATATTCATTAAATCTAATCTCATCTCCAGCATTGTTGTTAAATGGGATTCTTTGAATCAATGAATGGAGCTAGATGGGAATAGAAAGGAAACAAAGAGAGAGTCAATGTTTTAGAACAAGTTTGATTGCAGCATTGAGGGCATTGCCCTCCAGGACAGACAGCTTATATGAATGTAAGGGTGTTAAATTTAATGTTTATGGTACTAGATATGGGGGAAATGAGGGAGATTTGGGAAGGTGTTCAAACAAAGCTTGACTGCTCCTGTTGTGTAGAAATGGGGTGATCAGCAGCACATTGGATACAGAAGGTTGCAGCACTTTGTGCTATTGAGTGGAATAAACAGCCTTGATGATGATGATGATGATGATGATGATGATGATGATGAAGTGTTACCTGCCAGGATTCCACCTTTTGAGGTGACAAGCTTCTCATTCTCTGCATTGCTGTATGGGTTGATGGAGACCTGGAAATGGTCTGGAAGGCATGAGCCAGAGCATGGACAGCATTGTAGATGCTGTAACTGTGGCCAGTCATGCTCATTTCAAAGAACGGTGAGGATAGGCTCTGCAGCATCTCCTCCCCACTGCATGTTTTATTTGCATCCTTTGATGCCCCATGATTCAAGAAAGAGCATCCAAAGGCTTGTTCCCAGAACACCTTGGTGAAGCCATCAGCACTTTCCCCAGCAGGGTTGATAGTCTGAAGAAATGTTTGGAAGCCTGGAATATCATATGAATGAACTGAGAAGGAAAGGGCACCATGGAACATTTGCATACCAACAGGCTTTTGAAAGATATGCAAAGTGAAATCAATTTGAGCCATTGAAATCCACACTCTTCTTGCAGTGATCTTTCCTGTATAGTCATAATCTGTCAAAGGATAAATCACTGTGATCAATATAACAGAGGCTAACCACAAAACATTTGTACTTTCTCCATGTATAACAACTGCATTGGCTTTCTTCTCAGTGAAGATATGAACATGGCTTAAAGTTTCTGTAAGAACTTCCATCTCAAAGAACTGCCAGTTGGCTTTTAGTCTTTCTGTGAATTCAGAACATATTCCATTCTGGGAAAGCATTGACTCTATGGTCTGCAAGAAGCGTTCTCCACGTTCATCATCAATCGTGATGAGTCCTATCCATTTCCAGTGGAAATATTGAAGTATCTGGACAATCCCATGGTACTGAAGAGCTTCATTGGGGGCCATGCGGTAAAAGGAAGGCGAAGGGGATTCATCACTCACTGCTATTTGAAATGAACCATATGAAAACTGAGGAAGGGAGGGAGTCCAAAGTGAGACTGAGTGCTTCTTCAGTCATGATATTCATCTTTATTCTAAGCTTTCCTAGATAGTTTAATTCAAATAATCTATTTCATTCAGATGATCCCTCAAAACAATGCAGAAATAATTTTGAATATAACGAACGTTGCAATCATCTCTAGCCTTAGTTCTTCTTTGAGTTATGTGGACACAAGTTTGCAGAAAATTAATTTAAGTAAAATTGGATTCAATCCCACCTCAAAGTATACAGCAGAATTTGGGAATGAGGCATTACTGGGTTTTCTTTCACCCTGCAGAGAGCTTAGTTGATTTCCTCTGGTGTAATCTGGGGGGCAAGGGAAGAGATGCGCTCTTGCCAGAGGGGCCAAACCTTGGACTCCCATAGAACCCTCCAAAAAGACAATTTTCATATGTTTATCACTGGGTTTGGGAGAAGAGGAAGATCAACCCTGAGAAGGAACAGTGATAATTAAAACAGAGTCCAGATTTTGCAATTGCCGAGCAGGGTGGTGAATGAGAGGACACTTTGGAGAGCAATCTTTCAGAGAGTCACCCTCTGTCAGAAATGATGGCAAATAAGAGCAAACCGTTTGATTCACGTTTTGTGTAAGCCTTCATTTTGTCTCGCCTTTCTTTTCTAATCTTGCTTCCTCCTATTTTTGAACCAGGCCAAAGATCCCAGATAGTGAATACACTGAATAAATTATGGGTCTGTGCTGGTCCTTCTTCCACTAGTAGAAGCTTCCACTTTGAATTCAGTTAATTCTTCAGTTTCTGGAGAATATTTGAACCTTGTTTGCTTTCCCCCCCTTATTTGACATCAATCTTGCTCCTGACTCATTCCGGTCAGGGGCTGGATGGGCTGCTTTGGGGAGGAGGTGGTGGGATTGACCATGTCCTCCTGACATCTTACCTGGGGTATCTTGTAAGGCCCAAGGATATTGGCCATGCATGCAGAGACATCAGCACTCAGTCCACCTATGACTCCAATGAGCTTTTGCTGTGTGCCACATTGATAGTTGGGGACCATCTGATGTGACTTGAAGAGCATATCCAGGCTGGTCCGGTAGGTCATCTTTGGATCGGAGTAGCTGTCATAGATGTGGAAGCCCAGGGTGATGTTGGGCAGGATGTCAGGATTCTTATTGATCTCATTAACAGCAAAGACCAATGCCAGAATGTGCTGGAAGAACTTGGTGATCACGCTGCAAGGAAAGAGACTCTCTGTAGTCAGAGAGCTCTTTGGACATTGGATTTCTGTAGTGAAGATTGTTACCGAACATAAGGAAAGGGTGAAGTCTCACAAAGAACATCACAGTCAACTCCCATTGAAGGCAGGGAAATGGACTGTCAGCTTTTCGTTCTGGGGTTATGCTAATAGCAGAGCTATTGGAAGGAATCTAAATGTTTTATGCCCAGTGCCATAGGTTATGCTACCCTACCAAAAGACTGTAGAATGTAACTTAAACATGCATAGTTTCAAATGATTTCTAGGACTTAATTACATTTCACAGAAAGCAAAGCAATGCCAGCCAATAAAATATCATCCATATTCCCCAGAACAGCACAATGTCTTCCAATATGTTGCACTGTGCCTTAAACCAGGCCAAATCAATAGTATCTTTTCAAGTGAAAGAGTAGCTGTCCCATAACTAGAAGTAGCTGTCAAAGATCTAGAAACTGAGGTTGATGTTGGGCAAGGTCTTGGAATTCTCACTGATATTTTTAATTGCAAAACTCCAGCTAGGATGGCCTAGAATTTTGTCAACATGCTCTGGCATGACATAGTTGAAGAATTCTTTTGATATGAGAATTCTGCAGTGAATAGAACCACTGAACTTAGGTAGAGGGCACAATCTCATAAAGATCAGAATGGGCCAACCTCTGTTCCCTCCTGAATGCTTTGCAGTGCAATTCTGTACATGTCCTATGCAGAATACTACCTTCCAATCTCAATGGTTCTTACCACAAGGGAAGTGACTATCAGTCCAGAACTGCCTTCCAGCTTACATCAAAGTGTTTGGTCAGATTCTTTGCCATTTCACCATGAGATGACTTTTACAGTTCTCTTTCCAATGATGCCTCACCCCTGCATCCCTGTCAGGTTTTGCAGAATACAGAAAACAGAGACTTTTTCCGGAACTGCAGTGGGATTATACAGGCTCCTAAGCTCCACTGATATTTTTAATGATTGATGATGACGGTAAAAAGAGGAATATTTACATACCTGGATGTTTTGTTTTATTGCTTTTCTACTGGGCTGTAATATTGCCATTCTAACTACATATCCTTTTAAAAATTAGATACTAAATACAATTTTAGTCCTGATTTGAATTAGTACCTGGAACCCTCCAAATGTTTAAAAAAGATATTGAGTGGAACTTTTGAGTGAAACAGTACGAATAAATTGTAAATAATTGGTCCCTTTTTGCAAATAATGGCAGCAATTTGCAGTCATGGAATCAAGAAATGGACTTAAAGAGAAAGCAAACATCACTTCAAAGGGTTGCTTACAATGGGAATGGGAGTGTTTCCTCAGCAGGGTGCTTGTCGAACAAAAGAACAGGGAATATGTAATGAATATGAGATGCCATCCCACCGATGAGGAGCTCACCCTCCTGGTGCCACTCATGCGGGATGTGAACAGGATTGTTTTCAGAACATTTGGATGTCTTTTGTTGGATGGCTGCCTGTGGAAGGAGCACCACCAGCAGTAGTAGCAGCACTCTGGTTGCAAGTGCCCCTCTCAAGTTCTCCTCCTCCATGTGTCTTCACCATTTCATTGTACCTTGAGCTGCATTCAGGCAAGTTGTGAATATTTCTGAAGCAATGCAAGTGCCTGCCTTGATGTGCACTGAAAGCCACAAGTATAAAGCCCAACCTTTTTGTGGAAGGAGAAAACACTCCTTCAAAGATATCCCTGCTGACACTTGTCTCAAACCTGAGTTGTGAGTGGCACGTGTGCTGCTGCACTACTGTTGCATCCATGGAAGATTCCACTCTGGTCTTCCTTTCATTAGTGCCTTCTGGAAAGCCACTGGAGGCTTGATCTGGTGAATTAAATGCCATCATTTCAACAATTACAGGGAAAATAATAACTCTGGACTCCGTACGGTGTCTCTGCCAGTGCAACCAGCAAAGAAAACAAGTTTATCAAGTTTCAGAGCAACTTTCTGCTGCTCTGTAGGAGGGCAACAGCTATGTAGCATCTTCAGGACAATCCACAATAACTTCTAGGTTATGGAGTAATGGTAAGTCTGCTGTTCTGAGACAGGGAACTTGCAGCTTCTAGTCAACATTTGTGTGTGATGATGCTGGGCCAGCCACTGACATTCAATCTAACCTACTGCAGTAACCACTCTATGTGTGAACTGTCGTTGGCCACCTATGTTGAAAGATTGTCTTGGATCTTTTACTTTCCTGGCTCTCCCCACTGCTCCAAAACTTTTGTGTAGATTCCCTTGGCTTCTTTCTCTAATAGGCTAATCTAAGAAGCCATTCTGGAACTTGAAAGCAGTTTTAGCAGGAGGAGCTGGTGTAGGAGGAGGCCCACCTTTTCATTCCAGGAAGCCCTGCATAGACGCTGTTGGATTAGAGTATGAATTCACCCTTCATTTGGGAAGACCTTGTTCTTCACATTGTCTATTCTGGCCCTTGCCATTAGACCTTTCTGAGAAAGACCCACTGGGATTACATGTGGGTTGCACCCTCTCAGAGTGATCTCTTGAAGATAACACAACTGCAAAGCAAGCTGAGCCTAGGAAAATAAGAGAAGTGAAAGTTTGTGGAACTGGCAATTGCCTTCTGTGTCATGGGCAGAAGTCTGCTTCCTTTTTAACTAATGTTTCCATTTTACAGGATTAGTAGCCCCAAAGTCTTCCACAAGGGGGCAGTCAAGTGGGGATGGAAGGAGATGGGACATAGTTCAACTCTACATACTATAAGATTTTGTAGTGTGGGATGCTCATGATGAAATCCACAGAACAAAACATCCCAGGGGAAGTGAACATTTAAAAAAGAGGTGTTTGTGTTGGGGTGTATCAACAAGCCAGTCATTGAAGTGTAGCTCTTGCATTAAGCAGAAGAATCTGAAATGCTACTCAAGACCAAGTCATCCAAACATGCTGTTTGTGATGACAAAAAAAGTTATATCAATGAAAGAAAGTAGCCATCGCTGTAGCATACATATGCATTCTGTTATTGTTTATTTATTGAATTCCTTTTTTAAAAAAGAGAAACAAGTCTAATTCTATTCCAAGAATCATCATGGAGGTGCCCCGACATCTAGATAAATGTTGTCCTTTGTTGTACTAGTCCTTTGTGCTTGTGCTTATTTGGTAAAACAGAAACAGTTTTGGACCCGCTCTACCCCTCTGACTGTGGCTTGTTGGTCAAACAAAGTGAGCCCATGGAAACAGAGGGGACTGGGGCCCTCAGGCTATTCCATTTCCCCCAGTTGTCCATTTTTCCTGAAGAGAAGTATGGGACACATGATGGTACTGATAGCACAAAGGAAATAGCATCCATGACATAGCGACAGAACAGTGTATGTCATCACAAAATCACTTGAAGGGGGTACCAAGTTTCCCCAGATGTGCCCATATATGGGCTTATCAAAGAGGTTGTTCTGTGAACTGAAAGGCAAGACTATGTCAGTACCTGTACACATCCCTGAAAAATGTTATCCAAAGGGAAGCAGTTTTCTCCTTGGGGCTTCATTTTATCTACTTTGTGAACAGGAACCTTTTTCTGCAGAAAAAATAATTTCCCACCTGCCAGCCGAGAGTGCAAGATTGGCTATTGTGCAGACAAGGACTGATTCCACTTTTGTGGACAAAAATTCTGATGCCTAACGAACGGCAGCCTCTTCTTGATTATACTGGGTGGTGGTCCTGGAATTGTTAGTTTCTGCATACTTATCCACCTATTTCAGGAGAAGGAGTTGATTGGTAAATATCACAGAGCTAAGGCTGTCTGTGAGCAGTTCGTGCATAAACTACTTTTATGTCTTTGTGGGATACCTGAAACTTCAGGGAGAAGAGAGGCGTTTCTGCATTTACAGCTTTCTCGGCATGAGCTGCTCCTTACTGTTTTGCTCAGGTCTCAGCACAATAATATAGCATTTGGGGAAGAATATGCAGCCCAATAAGCCAGCACTGGAGGCCAAGATGGAGAAGATCTCCACAGCCACCATGGACTTTCCTCTCGTGCTGAGGTATGTGGGAACAAAGGAGACCCACACACTGCAGAAGACCAGCATGCTGAAGGTGATGAACCTGGCCTCATTGAAGCTGTCAGGCAACTTCCTGGCCAGAAGGCCACTGCAAAACTGACTCCAGCCAGGAAACCCATATAGCCCAAGACACAATAGAACATGAGGACGGAACCCTCATTGCATAGCAGGATGATTTCAGTAGACATAGAGTGCATGTGTGAATCTGGGAATGGGGGAGAAGTTGCCAGCCACAGAGCACAGATGTCTGCTTGAATATTGGAGCAGGAGAAGACAATGGCATAGGCCAGTCTTTTCCCCACCCACTTCCTCATCTGGGATCCTGGTTTGGTTGCCATGAAGGCCAGCACCACCGAAATGGTTTTTGCCAGGATGGTGGAGAGGTACACAGAGAAGACTATGCCAAAAGTAGCTTGTCGCAGAAGGCAGGTCACAGTGTTAGGCTTTCCAATGAAAAGCAAGGAGCAGAGGAAACAGAGGAGAAGGGAAATGAAGAGTATGTAGGTGAGGTTCTGGTTGTTTGCCTTGACAATGGCAGTGTCTCGATGCCTAATGAAGATGCCAAGCACCAGAACCATGGTTAAAGAGAATAGAAATGCTGAAGAAATGGAGATGATGGGCAGAGTTTCATTCAGAGCTAAGAAGTTTGGAATCTTAGGAATGCATTGATTCTGCCATTTGTTGGCATGTTGACCCACTGGACAAGTCTTGCAGGTTTCTGTGTCTAAAAACAAGGAAACAAGTATTCATTTAAAACCAAACCAAAATGTAGTCCAGACTGAGTTGAAAAAACCCATCCATTGAGGAGGTTCCATTTCTGCCTCACAAAATACTCCCATCTGAGTATTCTTTTCTCTCTGCCTTTTGTATCTCACCCATGCATGTCTTATTCTCACTTCCCTCATGTGAATCAGAATAGAGATGCTGATTCAAAAATCTCTTAGATTTTCCAACTTTCCTTTCACCAGGTATAAGTACAGAAGTCAGAAATATGGCTCTTTCTCTTCCCTTCTCAATGATGGACCTTCAGCATGGAAGAGTCTGTCTGCTGTATCTCCCCCATGCACATCTGATACCCCTTGTGTGCATCAGAACAGAGGTGCTGATTGAAACATCTCTTAGGTTTTCCAAGTTGCCTTTCACTAATTATGATTACATAAGCCATAAATATGACTCTTTCTCTCACTTCCCTTCTCAGTGATGTACCCTCAGCATGGGTGAGAACATGAAAAGTCAGGTAATGGGGACAAGGCTTCTACTTTAGTCATTTCCAACTCTCACCCAGAATGAAAATGAGGTGAGGAGAACTTCTGCAGAATATCAGGATGGACATGTTGAGGGAGCCCTGATAGGATTCAGGGAAGCTCCTGCCAATGAGAGAAGTCTATTGTCATGCATGGAAAGGTTTGGAACCCTATCTGTCCTTTGTTATCAGTGGAAAGATTTTCTAAGCCTTGGATGGGGATTCATTGCAGAGAAGGAGGGATAACTCCTTCCATTGCAGAGAAGGAGGGATAACTCTTTCAATTTTACTGCTGTAGGGAAAGCTGCTGTTGCAATAACAGCTAAGCTTAGGACAGATCTTACATTAGCACCAAAGGATTTTCTTTCCGAAGTGGGAGTTCTGGAGTGGTTGGGACAGTAGAACAGGCAACAGCAAGAGAGCTGCAAACTTCTCTTCCTATAAGCATCTGACATGGAAGTGTCATCACCCATTGAAGATCACTTGCTGCATCACTATTTGTGATTATTGTTATTTTACTGCACTTTGCCTGCCTCCTTTTTTCTTCTTGTGAGGATCAAAGTTTGGTTCCATAGTCACCCTGGAGTCTATTTTTATCCTCACAATAACAACCCTATGATTTAGGTTAGGTTGTGAATCCATGCCCAACTCTCCCAGTGAAATTTTTGTTGGAGTGGGGACTGGATCCTGTCTCTCCCAAGTGCCCAGTCCAACCCTCTAACCAGCAGACCACACTGGCTAGGAACCGCCCCCCCGCCCCAGCATGAATGCACAGGTGGATCTCTGCAACAGATCCAGGGTCACTGGAAACATATTTGAGGCTGGAACTGCATAGGCCCATGTTAAGCAATGTCACTGGTCTAATTAGAAGGGCAAATCCTTCTTCCACCTTTAGCAAGTGTTGATGCTATGTTAGGTTAGGTTAGGTTAGGTTAGGTTTATACTCTCAGAGATATGCAGAGCCTATTCTGCCATTTCTCAGGTGAGTGAAGGATCCTCATTTCAGGATGAAAATACAAAGATCCCCTTTAACTTCTTCAAACAATCCAAACATCTTGTTATATTTTCCAGACCACAGAACATGCTATCACATGGCAGAAATACCTGGGAACCGAATTTTAATTTAGGTTACAATGTATAAATATTGTTATATTAATCAGTTTTTTCTTCCTTCAGGATAGCTTTTAGAAATATCAAAAAACACTTATATAAATTGAATAACAAAAATGAAATAAATAAAATTAAATAATAACATAACATAATAAAAAACATAATAAAATAAAAATATAAATTAAATAGCACTGTCGGTATTTGTTTTTCGGTGCCAGGCTAAGACCTTTTTATTTAAATAATATTTTAACAATTTTTAATATCATCTATAGGTTTTTTAAATTGCAGCCAGGGTGAATCTGGATTTTATGTGCACTATTTGTATTATGTTCATTTATTGTATGTAAGCCACCCCAGGGTTCATGCAAATGGGACGGCATACAATAATTCTAAATAAATAAATACATAAATAAATAATACATAAATAAAATTAAAAAATAATAAAATAAAATAAAATTAATAAAATTAATAAAATAAAATATTCCAGGAAGCTGAACCATTTTTCCAGATAATTAATGAGAAGAGAATTTCAGGAAGGCTGTTTCTGTTTCACTAGAAAAAAATGCATCTTATAATGTTTTTAAAACTTTAAAAAAATGTAACATTGTATTTCCTACCCTCCTGGGCTGAAAACATCCCATCTGGACATTGGGCACAGGCATAGCAACAAAATTTCTCCCCTTCTATCTTCTTGCTGTACCCAGGATCACACATATCATTACACAGAGAAAGTGGTGGCACCTGTCCAGAAATGTAGCAAGAGCTGAGCATTAAGGAAACATTTGGGAGGATGTCTCATGACTGTTGATCTACTGACAAATGGAAACTCCAATGACTTGGAGCACTGGGCTGATAAGGGTACTGATACCACATTCCACAGGCTGAGTGCTCAGCATCCTATGGACACCTGATTAGATTCTCCTTTATTTTTCCAGTCTGTGCTTATATGTCTAACATGTTCTCTGAGGGTTGGATTTTTAAGGCCATGGTTTTCTTCTCAGCAATTGACCTCCTTATTTCCAAAACAAAGAACTGCTCTTTGGGCATAAGCTCCTTATTCTCCAAAAGCTCTTCATCCTCCAGAAAATGAAAACCCTCCTTTTGAGTAGTCCCAGACCCCAACTCTCCAGGAGAGCCCTTCTGGAGGTGGGTAAGCCTCTTAGCTTTATACCACCCCCCTGAATGGCTAGCCACTAGCCCTTCTCTCTGATGCCACATCATGGAGTCAAGGATCATAGAAATCTCATCTAACTCCTTTGACTGCATGTCAGGGCTTGCAGACTATGACTATTCTCAGGGTCCACCTGGTCACCTGGAGATGGCAGCCTTGCGATAACCATTTCTAGTTCTTCCATCTCAAAACCTGGAGCCCTCATTTCCCAGGTCTCATTCTTCCCACCTCAAGAGTTTATGTCAACCACACCCTGAAACATGTGCTAACAATAACTGCATCTTTCATTTCCAACAGTACCACACCTGTACTTTAAGGAACCCAACGGATTCTACACATCATCTTGTCCATTCTATTCTCACAAGAACCCAGTGAGGAAGGATAAATTGAGTGCCAGTGAGTCCCCAACCTCAGTCATAAAACTTCACCACCAAATGTAGAGTAAAATCGAGATCTCCCGATTCCCAAGAATCAAAATTAAAAGAATAATCAACAATTACCATCTTTAATCAAGATTTCATTCTTTTCAAAATAATATTCCAAGATTTGCCAACCAAACTATTCCAGTGAATCCGTGCATACTGTGAAGACATGCTTTCTCAAAATCTTTCTTGATTGTGAAGGCATGCCACCAAATGTTAAGGGCCAAAAAACAACAAACCATTTCCAACTTGAGTCACATCCCTTGGCCATTGGATTTATGTCTGATTGATGGTGAATTGTTTGTCTGGAGGAGCAAGAGGATCCAGGCTTCCGACTTTGACCTGCACATAGGAATCGTTTGGGAAAGTGACCAAATTCCTGACTTCAAATACACCCACCAACTCTCCATGTTCATTGAATCTAATTTCATCTCCAGCATTGTTGTTGAATGAGACCCTCCGAATCAATGAGTGGAGCTAGATGGAGGCAGAAAGGCACCAGAGAAGGAGGCAGAGTTTTAGAGCAGGTTTGATTGCAGAATTGAGAGTATTGTCCTCCAGGACAGAAAGCATTTATGAATGTAAGGGTGGTAAATTTAATGGTTTAGGCATTAGATATGGGGGGAAAGAGGGAAATCACATGTGCATGGTCATCATAGTGGCAAACATGCTTTAAATCATGCTTTAAAGACTAAGATTGCACAGTAGTGGAATTCTGCATGTGAGGAAGAAATTTGAGAGGGTGTGCAGATATGGAGTCCTCAACAGCATACTGGATACAGGAAGTTGCAGCATTTTGTGGTAATGAGTGGAGCAAATAAGCTTGATGAAGAAGGAGGAGTGTTACCTGCCAGGATTCCACCTTTCGAGGTGCCAAGCTCCTCATTCCAAGCATTGCTGTATGGCTGGATGGAGACCTGGAAGTGGTCTGGAAGGCATGAGCCAGAGCATAGACAGCATTGTAAATACTGTAACTATGGCCAGTCATGGTCATTTCAAAGAAAGGTGTGGGTAGGCTCTGCAGCATCTCCTCCCCACTACATGTTGCATTCAAAACCTTAGATGCCCCATGACTGGGCACAGAACATCCAAAGGCTTGTTCCCAGAACCCTCTGATAAAGCCATCACCTCTTGTCCAAGCAGGGCTGATTGTCTGAAGAAATGTTTGGAAGTCTGGAATCTCATTTGAATGAATTGTGAAGGAAAGAGCACCATGGAACATTCGCATACCAACTGGTTTGTGAAAGATATGCAAAGTGAAATCAATTTGAGCCATTGAAATCCACACTCTTCTTGCAGTGATCTTTCCTGTATAGTCATCATCTGTGAATGGATAAAACAGTGTGACCACTAGAACAGAGGCTAGCCACAAAACATTTGTACTTTCTCCATGTATAACAACTGTGCTAGTTTTCTTCTCAGTGAAGATAGGAACATGACTCAGTGTTTCATTGAGAATGTCAAACAGGTCAATGAACTGCCAGTTGGCTTTGAGTCTCTCTGTGAATTCTGAACAGATTCCATTTCGGGAAAGCATTGGTTCCATGGTCCGCAAGAAGCGTTCTCCACGTTCATCATCCATTGTGATGAGCCCAACCCATTTCTAGTGGAAATGGAGAAGAAGATGGATGATTCCCTGGTACTGAAGATCTTCATTGGGGACCATCTGGTAGGAGGAAGGCATATGGGATTCTCCACTCACTGCTGTTTGAAACGAGCCATATGAAAACTGAGGGAGGGAAGCAAGCAAGCAAGCAAGCAAGGAAGGAAGGAAGGAAGGAAGGTGAAAGTCTGAAGTGAGAATGAGAGCTTCTTCATTCATTATGGTCTTCATCTTAATTCTCATCTAGTTATTGTAACTCAAAGGATGTATTTCAGAAAGGTGATCCCTCAAAGCAGTGTAAATATAATGAACAATGCAATCATCACTACACTTTGTTCTATTTTATGATAATTGGGCATAAGCCTGGTGTACTCATATAGGAGGTGCCAGTCCTTGGACTCCAATAGGACCCTTGCAAAAGACAAATTTCTTATGTTTATCACTGTGTAGGGAGAAGGGGCAGATCAACTATGAGAAGGAGCACTGATAACGAAGACAGAGTCCTGAATCTGCAAGAGCTGAGCAGGGCAGTGAAAGAGAGGACACTTTGGAGGATATATGACCAGAGAGTCAACCTCAGTCAGAGATGATGGCAAAGAAGAGTAAGCATTTTGATGCACATTTTCTGCAACCCTTCATGATCACACTGCCTTTCTTTTCTTGCCTTGCTTCCCCCTCTTTGTGAACCAGACAAAAGATCCCAGAAGTGATGACAATGAACAAAATTATGGGGTTGTGGAAGTCCTTCTTCCACTAGGAGAAGCTATTCAGCTACAACAGGATACTTCTCCTTCCTTGACATCAGCCTGGCTCTTGACTTATTTCTTTAAGGGGCTGGATGGGCTGCTTTGGGCAGGAGGTGGTGGGATTGACCGTATCGGTGAGGATGTTCAAAGATAGGCCAGACATGCACATGGTGGGCATGTTGTGAGCAGAGCCGGCTGGAGCTGGGAGTCAGACTAGATGGCCCAGGAGCCCCCTTCTGACTCGCTCTGTTTCTATGTTTCTAAGTCCTCCTGACATCTTACCTGGGGGATCTTGTAAGGCCCGAGGATAT